GATGTTTCTTTCCCTCCCTTCACCTCTCTGAAAATAATCTTTTAGTTGTCCTTTTCTCTATCCTCCTCCTCTAATTAGGCTCACTTTAAAATTGGCCTTCCCCACAAAAGTCCTATCATGAACTGTGACTCCCTCCAGAGGCGGCAAAGTATGCTACTGTGAGAAAGAGTAATGACTCGTGGCGGTCTCACAGGAAAGACCATGCTGGCTTTGGGTTGGCCACACTTGGACTTGAATTCCTGCCTCACCTCCTAATAGTTAGGTGAACTGCAACTGTCAACTAATTTAGCCAAACCTCAGCTGCCTCATATATGAAACGGGGATAATATATACCTTGCTTTAAGAGTTGTTTCAAAATTTTTAAATATGTGTAAAGTACCGGGCAGAATATTTTTGTACAAAGAGTTGCTTAGTGATAGCTACACTGAGTTTCAACATGATTTTATTTTTTCTAAAACTTAAGGTTGAGAAAGGAACTTCTGTTAAAGGTCCAAAATTTGTAACGCACAATTTAGAAATTCATAAAGTTCTGAAAACCTAGTTTTTTCGTAACTTAGATGGTAAACCTGACCTGATCTAAACAATAAGGGGTTTCTTACTTTATTTTGTGTGAAAATTCCTAAGTTTTACTACAGAGATAGTAATATATTTGGTAGGAATGCTATCCCAGCCTTGCTGGTGATGGCACATTAATATAGTACAGACATGCTGTCGCCTTTGTAAAGCTTTTGCAAAACTTTCAACTTCCAAATGTATATGGCCCCAATTGTTTCAAACGAGATGTTGTTTACTTGTAATACATTCTATGTGGAAACAAATATCAGTAAATGTAAACCTTGTAAAAAGGAGAATAGGTAAAATTCATATGGTCTAAATCTGACTTTGCTATTATGTCTTCACTTTAATTCCTGAAGTTCTAGTTGTTTAAAAAGTACTTTTAATTAAAAAGTATTTCTGAAAAGACTTTGAAATACTGAGTTGAACTATTTAAAACATTTGGGCCACATGTTCCCTAAAATATTTTCTATATAGAACAAAAAACCTATGTATGTCAAATATATTCACCACTGAAGAAACTAATCAATAAAAAAATATTTGACCATCTCCATGCCAAATACTAGGAAGGAAAGACGGGCACCATGGAAAGAACTCCAGGTTTGTATTCAGAAAATCAAGGTTCAAATCTTGGCTCAGGTTTAATAGTTCTATGACCTCAGGTAACATACTCTTTAAGCTTATCATCTGTTACGTAGGAATTTTTAAAAATCCTACTTTATAGGGTTGTAATAAGGATAATAAGACAAAGTAAAAGCCTCTAGCAAAGTAACTATTTTCTGTAAACTGCTCTAAAAACCACACTTTAAACATTGTATTACAATTTCAGCTTAACATGTGTTAGCAAATGTTGAACACTTCAAGTGATGTTATAAAATTAACTTCCCCCATTATTTAGGTTTTGCAAGTTATGTGACATTACCTTTAAAGGTAAAGTCTATAGGAGAGTTTATGTCTTTTTAGAGGAAAGTTGACAAGTAATAATAAAGGTTAACAGTACCCCCAACCGAGGTAGAGAATAAGAGATATAAAAAACCAGTCTCACCTTAACCACATTTACTAGGATACTAAATTTTTTGTCTTCCTGCTCATATTTATCATATATCCCAAGCTATCAGTAAGTCTCAGGTTTCCAAGTTTTCCCTTTAACTGAAGATTTTTTTTAAACTAAGTTTCTGATAAGAGAGATTGTCAATTTTTAGAATATAGACACATCTCAAACAAAATTCTCTTGGGAAAGAAAGCAATCTGGAATCTTGGGAAAGCTGTTAATTTTCAACTTAATTATAAACATGACAAAAATAAAAGTAATTTTGTATCCATCTGCAAGAGCCTATGATTTCACATAGAAACGTTCAATGTTAATTTCAGTTATTTAGTACTTGCAATCTCCAGTACTAAATAAAAGACAAGTTACCAAGTACACTTAATGCTGCAAAGAGGCAAATCACTTGATTTGAGTAACTTGGATCATTTACAATAAGGAGGTCTATTTCTGGAGGATAGACCACGCTGAATTTCAGGAAACCTGGTTTACAGTCTGGTCAAGTCAGTAAATCTCTCTGAACTTTCTCACCTTTTACAAGTAATAGCATTTTTCTTCCTTCCTCATGGGGATGAGTCACGAAAGCACTTTGAAAAGTTAAAAGTTCCACACACTACAATAACATCAATACTTATCAGGCAGAAGGCAAAGTGATTACTGTGCAGGAAGGGGGAGTGTGAGGATGAGCAAGACTGCATGAGAAATCTGGGTTCTACACCCAATCTGGCATTTACTAGTGTGTGATGCAAGGCACTTCATTTGTTCAGGTGCCCACTAAATCCTTCGAAAAATGAATTTGCCGAAATTTCTTTCTAGCTCCAAGATTGTAATTTTATGGTATAAATTTGAATGCAAGGCCCAAAATATTTGAGCTCTCATTTATATACAATGACTCATATACTGTCAAAGGTAAGGATAACAACACTATTTACACACATCTGTTGTAGCTTATTCACTTAATTTGGAAACTGGTGCAGAGCAGCCATTAGTATACTTCTAAATCTTCTTTAAATGCTAAGGTTAATATTAAAATGAAAATGAATAGTATTTACACTTCTGTGAAAACCAAAAGAACCTCAAAATTCCATACAGGCCTAAGGGAAGAAACGTGCTCCAAAACAAGATGCACTACTATTATTTTCCAAAATAATTTTGTTTGTTTTTTTAAACAAGGCTAATTATTCTAATATCAACGTCGATTATTATTTTGTTAACTGCCCTCAGGTACATAGATCTTCAATTACACCTTGAAGCGAAAGCACTTCCCTAAGAGGACTTTTTTAATTGAAAATTTAACAAACCACCAAACTCAAGTTTAATTATTTCTGCTTTATTATTGGTTATGAGTATATTAAAAACTTAAAAAAATAGTTACAAAGAGCCTTTATCACTAAAATATATAATAAAAAAACCAAGTTGCTTTGAAATTAATAATTTGAAAGTGACCCCCAAAAGAGCCCACAATATATTAACTTCATTCTTCATGTAGGAGCAAATAGTTAAAATTATTTTTAACAACATACTGAGCAAGAAAAACGTTGTGGAGATATCCCAATGCCTCCAAAAATCTTACAGAACATGCTTAATATATTTGTCTCCATGTGGTGATATTAAAAATCCAATTTCCAAGTAAACATATAAATCCTGTTCATGTTCCAGTATCTAAATCTGGAAACACAAATTCAGGCATGAGTTTAAGAAAGTCCCAGTAAAGTCATCAAAACCTAGTGAACTTAAGTTAAAAAGCCGAGAATAATAATAGTCCGATTTCACCAGAAGATCCAATCCAGATGAAACAAATATTTGATATTGTCTATTTTTATCTGATCCTAAAGAAAACATTCTACATAAAGTGATGGGATACCTCGGTCAATTTTTAGTGCCCCCCCCCCCCAACTATAACCTGAAATTATCTATTCAGACTCCCTGCCAAAAGGTCGACAAAACTCTTCCCGGAGGCGATGGTGAGTTATCAGAGATGCAGGCTGAACTTAGAAGGCAGAAAAGCAGTCAGGCAGTTAGAATTCTCCACATGCCCACCCTGAGCGTGGGGTGTGCGGTTCTATACCACCACCAGTCGGAGACGGAGGGTCTAGTCAGGAAATAGAACGGGTTCCAAACCTTCCTTTAGAGATCTAGGTCAAAATACTTGGTTTCTCACAAAAGTTAGAATGAAGGGGAAAACAACTGTTAACATTTTAAAACTAAACCTTTACCTATTTATCTAGAACACACTACGTAAAGTAGCCAATTCCTTACATCGAAAACGTCACAGACATCACGTGAAAAGTAGTATTTATTCGCAACAGCTTTCCTTTTAAAGGCCTCAACAGATTGAATTAAGCCACACCCCTCCATAAATGGCACATTCCATACAATAGCCAGGACGGCAGAGGGCGATTCCACCGTCTGCGGGGTAACAGCAAACTTGTTGAAATTCTCAGAATAAAGTCTAATGGTTAACTGAATCTAACCCCTTTATTATTAAAGTTATTCGGGGTAAAGAGAGGGTTACAAAAACATCGAGACATGTACTCTGGGTGAGAGTGTAGAGCTGTCGGGAACGAGAACCACACGGGATTTGGGTCGTGTTGTTAACCCGCACCTCCCGGAGCAAGGACATTTCCCCAAGAAGGCCATTTCTAGTCATGGATAAGGGCGAACTCGGGCTTTTGAGCAGCTCAGAATTCCGAGTTAATAAAGCAACAGTCATTATTTCCCAGGGCCCAGTTACAAACTGCATTTTGCGAGGCGGGGGGGGGGGGGGGGAGGTAAAAGGCGGGCCCCGCCCACACCCCGATCGGGGAGGCGGAGCCCCGGGGCGACCCCGGTGGATGGAGGCGGGGCCCCGTGGCAGGGCCGCCCTCCTTGGTGTGGAACTCCCGGGTCCGCTAGAGTTGAGTCTCCCCCCACCCCTCAGAATCCCACGCAAGCAGAGGGGGAAGGGGCAATACGGGTGTCTCCATTCCTTCTCACTTAAGGGTGGGGGCCCCAAGCAGGTCCACCGATGTCTCCAAAGCGGGCTCCAAGGGGCTGGCCCCGCGGAGGTGGGGCCTGGTAGGGACGCTGACTTCACACCCCTCCCCCTACGGCCGCTGGCGGTTCAGGGAACACCCCGCCCGCTCCAATGCAGCGGGCGGGGGAGGCAGCCGAGCAGCCCAGAGCCCTGCAGCGGAGCGGGGCGGGGAGAAGCGCGCATGGGCGCTCGGCCGCCACCCCCCGCGCAGCACTCCGCGCCAGCAAGGCCCCTAATGCTCAAGGGCGCGCTCGGGCCCGAAAGGGAGGAGGCCGCGCGTGGCACGGGAGAGCGCAGACTCTAGGCTTGTGTCCCCCCACTCCTTCACCATACACCCCGCACCCATCTCTCCAACCCGCTCCAGGCCTCAGACTCCGCACTGACCTGACAGGCCGAGACATGTTCGCTGTCGAATCAGGACCGAGTTGAGAAGCCAAAGACCAGGACCCCCCCCACCCCGCGCGCTGGGCGCCCCACCCCCCCCAACTTCGGCCGAGGGGGCCGATACCGCAGAACCCCGAGCTGCTGGCTTCTCAAACTCCGCGGCTCCTTGGTTCAGAGACCCGTAAGCAGACGAACCCCCCGCTACCCCGTCTCTTCAAAATGGATGAATCAAACCAGCCGAAAATGCGCCAAAGCCGCCGTGCAACCACACACACTAGGGCTTGTGGGCTCCTCCCCAAAACGCCCGGTCATTGGCAGCGTTTGCCAGTTGCGCTGAGCTCATTAGTCCGTTTGAATCATCACGTCCCCCCAGGCCCCGCCCCTCTCTTTGATAGGCCCCGCCTCCTCCATTGGGTCCTGTTAGTCAAGATGCTCTGAGAGCGCACGGCCGCAAAACAAAAATGGTCGCTGCGCTGCCAGCCCCGTTGGAATTGCAGATTCGTGTTGGGTCTCATTTTGTTACGATTAGAAAAAAAGATTTATTTAGCAGTTATATGTCATTTAGTGTTAGTTTAATTGTCTTTTATTTCGTCTTCTTGATCATCTAGAAACTACATTAATAGCAAAATCTGTGGGATAAGCAGCTGATTCGTCACTAAGGGGCTGCTTCAGAATTGGAGGGAAATTCCATAGGTTCAAAAAAATTGACCTTAAACCCATAAGCCCCTTCCCCTGACTTTAACATTTAGCTTTTAGGGGTCCAACCGCTGCTGGAGCAGAGAGACAGGATCATAAACAAGGAAAACTTCACCTCCAATTTCCATTCTCCATTCTGGACCTTGAGATCCGCTTTAGGGTCATTAAAGTCCCAGTCTTGGACATAACTTCGAGGGCCTAAAGATTAGGAGGAGCGTGAACTCTGTGGCCACAGGGTGTTTCGTTTTGAAGCTCAGGTCCACAACTTAATAAGTGTATGACTTTACCTCTCCGTGCCTCAGTTTTCTTAGGTGTAAAATGGGGAACAATAATACTTATCTTACAGGGTTATTAGTATTAAATGAGTTGATATATGAAAAGCCTTTAAGACAGTCACTGGCACACAATAAACACTATGCAATCGGTTAAATTTGTTAATTCAATTTTTTACAGATGGCCTGATCCCTGGGTAGGGATAGACGGGGCAGGCTCAAGGCTCAAGTCAAATGACGTAGGGTAACCCAGATTATTGCATTAAAATCCATGAACATTTGTTGGATGCCTAAGCTCGCAGAGTCAGAGCTCAAGATGCCTATGGCAACAGCTAAGGTAACCACCATTGTAAAATTGACTTTAATCCCTGCCACAGGCAGCTTGTTAATAACCAAGTAAATATATATGCCATAAACAAACAAACCCACCACTGTCTGTCCCCTGAAAGTCTCTTGTAAAATATGGGTATTTTAAGAGAAGAGAATAAATAGCACAGTACACCAATGAAGCATTAAAGTTCTTTTCCGCTTCTTCCACAGCACTCCACTCTTTTTCCCTTGAATGGTTTTGTTGTTGTTGTAAAAAAAAAAATGCATAACATGAAATTCACCATTTTAACCATTTTAAGTGTAGTTCAGTGGCATTAAGCACATTCACATTGTGATGAAACCATCTCTACCGTCCATCTCCAGAACTTTTTCTTCAAATCCAGCTGAAACTCCCTCTCTATATCCTCTTTCCCCAGCCCCTGGCACTATTCTACCATCTTTTATGAATTTGACTATTCTAGGAATCTCATATAAGTAGAATCATACAGTATTTGTCCTTTTGTGATTGGCTTATTTCATTTAGCATAATGCCATCCAGGTTCATGCATGTTGTAGCATGTATTAAAATTCTACCTCCGAAAGGCTATATAATATTTTATTGTGTGTGTGTATGTGTGTATATGTATATATATATATATATATGTATATATATATATATACTGTATATGTATATATGGATTGCTTCCAGATCTTGGCTATTGTGAATAATGCTGTGAACATGGGTGTACAAATATCTCTTTGTGACCATGCTTTCAATTACTTTGGGTATAGACACAGAAGTAGGATTTCTAGATCATACAATAATTCTACTTTTAATTTTTTGAGGAATTGCATAGTATTTTCCACAGCAGTTGCACCATTTTACATTCCCACCAGGAGTACACAGGGGGTCCAGTTTCTCTATGTCCTTTCTAACACTCACTTATTATTTTGTGTTTTTTTTTTATAGTAGCCATCCTAATGGGTGTCCGAATATATTTTAACTACATGTATTGTCATTCATATTATTGTCAAAATGCTAGTACAGAGGATAGGGTGGTGCAGTGATCATAAGCGACTTTGTTGGAGGCTATTTAATGTGGGCAGATTGCTATTATTTTAGCAAATAATATTTAGTATGTATTGCTAAATACACATACTAAAACTTTGATAAATTATGAAAACAAAAAAGGCTCAGGAGACAGAAAAGTCAGTTATTCCTTTCTCCTGGAAATGAGATATAATGGCCTTTTAAACCAAATGCTTAATTTCTCCTGTGACTTTGGTTATGAAGGGTCTGGGAGAAGTAAGGCCTACTTGCCTGAGTACGGTTGGTAGGGTATTAATATAGATGTAGTAATTTATAGATTTAATTTGAAAATTTCACCTAAAATGTCATATGGTGTACTTGAGTGTGATATTGTTATGGTACAGAATTACATGCTTATGATTTTGTAATAAAAAAGAGGTGTTTTCTGTGCCAGACCGTGTACTTTGAGAAGTAGCTTTTTCCTTCTCTCCTGCATATGTTAAAGACAGAAGGAGCAGCAGTGCTGGGGTGGTAGGATTGACGTCTCTTCGCGATCCCTAACGAAGACCAATGTCCTTCAAGTCTATGCTCTAGTAGCTGGGAGGTTTATACAAAATTTTGAGCACTTACTCTGTGCTGAGACCTCATTAAAGTCAGCCAACCAGGTCTAAAAACTGGCCGACACTGCTTGTACTGACCATTGAAACACAGAAAGCCCCCTCTCTTCGAAGACCCTTTCAGGAAGTTAAAGAAAGCTCCTCCTGTTGTTTGTGTTTTTTTTGTTTTCCTTAAACTTCACCTTTACCCTGCTGACTTTCTGCCACACCATACTCAGCAAAAATGATGAGACAGAAGAGCTGTCTGGTTGATCCTTCTGAAAGCCCAGAGGCCAAGTGTCCTGCCTGGAGATAGGTTTATGGTTAAGGAGAATGCTCTCTTGCCCATAGGTCACAGCCAGAAAAAGGTTGGGCCAAAGTCAATCTAAACTTTTAAATTCATTTTCTCATGCGTATATGTCTTTGGCTCCAGACTTCCATCTTCCTCTCTACTTTTAAGAATGTTAAAAGTTAAATTTAGGAGGGTTTCTGCTACTTAAACAAAAAAGACATACAACTTGACGTCTAGTTTAAATTGAAGGGAAAAAACCCAAAAGGCTAATACTTGGTGTTTTTCTCAACACTTGCTGTTTTGCTTGACACCAATAAAACCTAAAGAAAACTTGCCCTTGTAATAGTGAATGAGACAGTCTTTATCCATCCAAACCACTGACAAGTATTGTGAGCATTGCTGAAAGGAGGGGCCCCAAAGTATAACAAAAATAGCACTGAACTTGTAGTTTTCCTAAGCACGGTGATTTACGTCCTACGTGACCTTTGGCAAATTTCAAAGTCCTGCACCACAGCTCCTTCATCTGTAAAATGGGAATAATTATATTGTTTGGCATAATAACAAAAAAAGGGCTCACTTATTAAAGTAGCTTGTGTACTGTGAAGCACTGTGGGCAGTAGAATGGCTCACACTGCCTTCACTTCATTGTTTTCCAACATTGTTTATTCCTCCAACAGAACACAATTACCATTAAGCCCCGGGAACATCATTCACAAAGACTGCCCACAGCTCACAGCCGGAGAAAAAGTGGCTATGAGAATGCTGATAGTCACGTTTTAGCACTGTGAATGTCCAGGTGTTGTCGCTCTTTCTCCACTATCTCCTAATCATTCCTGGGAAATGAACCTATTCCAGCGATACCCAAGACTGGCGTGCATCCACAACTACTGCCAAGACGTCTCTCTGCCTCTCTCTGAGTTCCTAATGGACATCTCCATGTGGATGTCCAGAAGCTCAATTTGTCTATGCCAAACAAATCATCCCCCCCTTATACTCATTTTTTTCCTGACTCCCCCATTTTTGTCAGCAGGATCTTCATTTCTGTCAGCAACATCTTCTTAATCACCTGAGCTCAAATCCTTGGTGCTACTGACTCCGCCCCGATGCCTCACTGTTAGTCTTTGTCATAGAAACCTCTTGATTCTTTCTTCATTGCATTTCTCAAATTCGTTTTTCACTTGCCATTTCCGCGGTCACCATTCATGCTTAAACTACTGTAACAGCTTTTCTTCTCTCTGGTTTTTAATTTTTTTCTTTTGGTAATCTGTGGTAGATAAAACAGACAATTCTATCTTCCTGAAGCACGGTGCTCAATACATTCATACAACTTCCATAATACAGTCTAAATGCTTTATACTAGTATTTAGGCCACTATCAGATAGATTTCTCAAGCACAAATCTAACATCACTCTGCTTAAAATCTCTCCATGAACTGGGGAAAATATTTGTAATATACATGACAAAAGGTTCTATACAAAGAGTGCTTTTACAAAATCACTAAGAAAAATACAACAAAATAAAAACAGACATAGGATACAAACAGGTGACTAACAGAAGAAATAAAATTGACTAATGTATTTAAAAATACACTCACAGCAAAAAAAGTTTTTTAAATCTTCTCTCCTCAGATTGGTAAAGGTTAAAAACAGTTTTGCTAACAATATATGTAAATTGCTTGCTCAGATCCAATTGGTGGGACAATTGTGTATTTGTACAAACATTTTGGTGGGAAATTTGATGCTATATTTAAACTTAAAGTGTGTATCCTCTTTGACTTACCTCTAGGAGTTTCTAAAAAAGTTTTTTATGTAAGTGTATAAATACATATATAAAGATTTAGTTTGTGACACTCCTTGTTAGAGAGGAAAAGAAATAACCCAAACATCAATTAATAGATCATTGGTTACATAAATTAGAACACATCCATACATCTTATGCAACAATTAAAAAAGAGTGAGGTAGAACTGTATGTTCATATGTGGAGAGATAGCTAAGTTACACTGAAAAGGAAAAAAGCACGTTGCAGGAAGCCATATGTGAGCTTCTCCTCTTTTTCAAGCAGGGGGAGGAGTGTACAGATAGGACTGTATATATATATAGAAAAGCCTGGAAGAATATTCAAGGAATTCTATCTCCTAAAAATGTCTGTAATATTTGAATTAAAAATTAATAATGTTTATCCTTAACCCTGCTATCAGCTAGTTGTGTAGCCCCCGCAAGTTCTTTAACCCCACTACTCCTCAGTTTTCCTATCTGTGGCAGGCACAGTAGCGATGCCCCCTCCCTGCCCCCAAAATATTCATGGCTTAATCTCTGGAAGCTGTGAATATGGGAGGAGGAGTTAAGGTTGCTAATATACTGATCTTTTTAAAATATATATATTTTATTTATTTTTAGACAGAGTGGAAGGGAGAGAGAGAGGGAAACATCAATGTGTTGTTGCCTCTCACGCGCCCCCTACTGGGGACAGGGCCACAACCCAGGCATGTGCCCTACACTGGGAGTTGAACCTGGGACCGTTTGGTTTGCAGGACGGTGCTCAATCCATTGAGCCACACCAGTCAGGGCACAAACTCATCTCGATGTGGCAAATTAACCTGGATTATAATAAATTACTGTTTCCACCATACTGAAAAATTATTATATGGACAAACTTCAAGGATGCCACCACCAAAACACACACACGCAAAATGGGAGGCAGTGTATCGTAGTAAAGGGCCCAGTTCCTGGAGTCACACTACTTCAGCTTAAAAATCAGTTTTGCCACTTGCTAGCTGTCTAAACTTGAGCAAAGTCTTGGTTTATTGTGCCTCAGTTTCCTTATTTATATATATCATATGTGAAGCACTCAGAATACTTGCTTGGTTTATGGCAACATTGAGATGTTCACTACTGGCTGAAAATGGAACGGCTGCTGAAATCCCTGTACTTGCAAACAAGAGAGCTAATATTCAAAATTAAATGACAATCACTGCATTGGGTGACATATCTTAGCAAGTGAACCTGTCAATAAAGCATCTTACAATATATCTGTACTGCATGCTATACAAATTGCACTTAATTTATCTGCAAGTTTAATTACACGCATGTCTCTATTCTACACATGAACATGGTCTCAAAATCAAACCCCAAAGTGGCCAGTTCTGTTTGCCTGACTGTCTGGGCTTATTTTCCAAAATAGGTTTTTCAGGTTAAATATTCCCCAGAAACCTAAAGGACAGAATGGAGATCGGGAATTGGACGACTTGCAGTTACTTCTTGGCTTTGTTACAAATTCAACCAGCTGCCTTTCAGAAAGTCAAATTTAGAGATATTTATTCCCTCAAACATAAAATGGGAAACAGTTTGCTTTCTTATTTCTAAGACAGTGTAAAAAGCAGACACAACTCACATATCTGAGGAACGAGTTTCACCAGCTAGTGGTATCCAGTGCTACCTTGCTCATGTGGTAAGTCATAAAATGCCTACCTCCTCTCCTTCCTCTTCCCGTCTGCTTTCTCCTCTTGATTCCCACAGTTAGGTCCTAATAAGATGGAGTTTGAGTATGAGTCCAATTAGAGCGTAAAGAAAGGTAGCAAAACAGCACCATTATACAGTAAAGTACTATTAAGTGCATGTGATTAGTTTTATATATCCATTTGACTGGGCCATCAGCTGCCCAGATATTTGGTCAATGTTATTCTTGGTTTTCCTGTGAGGGTGTTTTTGAATGAGATTAACATTTAAATCAATAGAGTGAATAGAGCAGACTGCCCTAGAAATTTTTTTTTGGGGGGGGGGGTCTCGTCCAGTTGAAGGCCTATATAGAAAAAAAGGTTGACCCTCTGCTGAGTAAGCAAGAATTCTCATGCCTGATGGCCTTCCAACTGAAGTATCAGCTTCTTCCAGCCTGCCAGCCTTGAGGCTTTAACTGGGATATCAGGTCTGCAGATTTTGGACTTGTCAGCTTTTGTAATCACATCAGCCAATTCCTTAAAGTAAATCCCTTTATATATATATATTCCTATAGTTCTGTTTCCCTGGAAAACCCTAATGCAGAGAAGTACCATTATTATACTAAAACTTTGCATATAAAATTTAGGGGAATTCAGATTATGCTTGAAAGCCAAAGAGAAGGTAAGGTTTTTTTCTAATAACAATGAGTCATATGTAGATATATTTTCAAGTCTCTGGTATTTATGGCTGAACTAAAAATACATACATAGTCCTTCAGAACACACATCATTTTCTAGTGGTCTCTTATCTAATCCAACTTGCAGCTTTGGGGGTTATTTGGCTTTAATAAAGGAGTCACTTATACAACCGAGGACTCTTCCTATACACAGTGAACCAAAAAGAGTAGAGGGGAAACAGGCACTGAGGTGTTTCCTTGAGCAATCTGGTCATTAAATTTTATAGAACACCGTGGAGATTTTTACATCTTCTAACCATGGCCTTAGATCACGTCAAAAGCAGGTCACTGCCTAAATAAGGACAACGAAGGGCAGGAAAGCCTTATGTAAAATGGGACACTGTGTCCTGGGGACAGAAGACAGACCACATAGGGAGTCAAAACTGGAGATATTATTCAATCAATAGATTCTTTTGCCAATGCTAATAAATTCAGGAATAGTTTATCACTGATTTACTATTGATTGAAAATTACAGAGTAAATTCCAAACTTTGAAATCTAAAAAAAACAAAACAAAACCTGGAGATAATAGGTAAAAATGAGGAACCCCAAACACACTTTAGCAATAGCTAGGAAAAGTGAATTAGGAAAATCATCTTGAAGTAATTTTGGCTCATTAGTAGTAACAAAAGAGCAAACCGTCACTTAACTGCTGAAGGACCTTCCTTGACCTTTGTCTTTTTCCTACTTTTTTTTTTTGTCACTTGGCTTTTCTGTCTACAGTAGAAAGCCATGGCAGCTACAGTCCCACAGCTCTGTTTCAGCCCTTCCTTAGGTCTCTAAGAACATTCTGCTGGGAATGCTTACGTTTTCTTTTGGGCCATAGACCAGCTGAGTGGTTGGAGGAGCATCTTGTCTCAAATACAGAAACTTCTCTAGGGAAGGGATACAGTAGTCTCCATGCTCCAAACAATTTTACCTAAGAGGTGGCATCCAAATGATAGGATCCAATTATTTTAGTATAATCACATTTCAAATCATGTAAATATTTTCTTCTTGTTTTCCTTTTTCTCTATGGATAGGGACATAGGGAGGAATTAGTTAATTTCAGTTTCTTCTTTAGTTTCAGACCTATAATTTTCACCAATTGGGAGACAAAATCCAGAGGGCAGGCAGGCAGGCCACTTCTAGCACTGCTTGAAAAGGCAGGTATATCTTGAGTCAGCAAATGGGAAAAGAAAGCATATTCAATTTTGTTTAAATGGTCACATTTCCAAACAGTATGTGGGATGTTACATCAAGTACTGAATGGTACTAGGCAGGTGGTACTTACTAGTAAATTAACAGATAAGCAGAAAAACATGTACCTTCATTTTTAAAGAAGGTATTTTTAAAAAGTACAGTCTTCGCTTCCATGGTGCTCTTGAACAATCAGCATAGGATAACACTTTAACAAACTCACATAAACAGCCAGTAACTACCATGAATGCAAGATTTATTTCCCATTTATGTATGATATTTCAGGGGTTCAAACCAGTGCATAAAAATCTATTTTCTTCTCTTATAAAGGAAATTTGTTAATTTACTATTATCTTCAGAATCATTGTAATAAAAAGTCTACCTGAAAAGGGTAATACAAAAGAGAACTTCAAGGTCTCAAAAGGTTGTGCAAAAGTGACAATTGGCATTAAAAACAAAAACAGAAAAATAAACCAACAAACTACTGAAGGCTTAGCTCGTGTTCTTTTTCTGATATTTGGCCTCTTACCTCTCTTAGGACAGTGGTTTTTGAAGTTTGGTGTGCATCAGAATCAGCCAGAGGACTAACAGGAAAGGCTTGGGTCTCTGCAGCATTACCAAGTTATCAAACCAGACTAATCAGTCACCTGGGAAGCTTTGAAAACTAGGAGATTCCCAGGCTTCACCCATAGAAATGTTGATTCAGTAGGTTTGAGGTTTGGGACCCAGAAATCTTAAAACCCCATCTGATTTAGCACTTAGCTAATGATTTTCTGTCTATCTACTCCCATCCCCAAAGGTCTGTACATAATATTCGGTTCCTGTGGCTGTTAAGTGCTAGCCACCCAGATTGCTCCTAAGCAAGTCACCCCACAGGGCTTTGTTCTATTAACCTCTCCCTCTTCTTCCATTCAGGTTCCCAGAGCTGTGAGAAACAGACGACTGGGCACCACTCGCTGCATTATGCATCAAGACATCAACCCAGAAACCTGCAATCCCCGCCCCTACTCTACTGGTAGGGAGACGGTTAGAACACCCTGAGCGAGAAATAATTTCTTTGTGGAAAGAAACACTCTCATCATACAAGATAGTTTAAAAGCTTTAGTATTCTTCTTTTTTTTTAATCCTCTCCTGAGGATATGTTTATTGACTTTGAGAAACATTAATTGGTTGCCTCCCATGTGTATGACTAGAGCTCAAACCTGCATTGTAGGTATGTGCCCTGCCTGGCGATTGAACTTAAAACCTTTTTTTGTTTTGTTTTCTTTCTTTCTTTTTTTTTTTTTTGGTGCACAGGACAATTCTCCAACCAACTGAGCCACCTGGCCAGGATAAGTGTGGCTATTCTTGAAGCCAAGTCAAGAGAAGGCTAATTACAACTTTAGAAGCTTCAAAAATACAGTGACTTCTGGGTCACCTCTAGTAGCCCAAAACCCAAACATATCCAGCTCCACCCCTTCTGTGTCTCCGAATCAGGTATTTACAGTAAATTCAAATTCCAAGACAGAAAGAATCTGACCTATAAGGAATTTGGGAAATGACCTTTGATTTTGTTTTCCTCTCAGTCTGAAGTCATATCAGATTGATATCTCAACATACATGAGATGGAAAAATAAGCTCAAAAGCAGCTGAGAATTACAATCCTTAAGATCCTTAACGCACAGATACTGATTTCTAATCCTTCCCATAAAATCTGAGATCATAAGTTGAGTAATGAGATGATCTTATACAAAAGGCACTATGTGGGCCACGTGAGCCAGCAGCAAGTAAGAACCAAGTTCTAGGTGATGCAGAAATGCACATTGGTCCCAGGTGTCTTTTCTTGGTGATGATGCCCCTCCTTATTGGAGAGTCAGCACGAGATAGTTCAAAGATACTTAGTAAAATTGCTGGGTGGGCAACCTAAGGGTAGGGATTAGAACTGGGAGGGAAAGCAAGCAGAACACAACTAGCAGCAGCCCCAGCTGGAGGAGGGCTTGGTTTGTAGGTTGATGTAGTTCCCTTGGGTGGACGAAGACATATCTTCTCTGAAATTGCTCATCATCTTTTCGATTAGGACTCTGAAAAAGAAATAAAAAATAAGTTAGAAAAGCTGGCTTGAGGAAAGGAAGAAACAGCAAACATTGTCTGTCTTAGCACCAGATGCCATTCAGGAAAGCCAGGAAGTTTGTCCCCAGTTATTGCAGGAGAGAGGACAGCATCCCTGACTTTCAGAAGCTGGCATTCCAGTCTGCTCTTATTTGCTCAGAAATAAGAAAAGAGGGTCCAGCAGGCTGCAGTGGAAGATGGGCACATCTGTGTGCCCATGAGCTACTCACCTCATGGCCTCATTAACATTTTTGTTCTCCTTGACTGATGTTTCTGTCCATCCTATGAAACCATTCTCCTTACTGAATCGATCGACCTGGTCTCGGCTCACTGCCCAAGGGGACAGATCACACTGGCAAAGAGAGTAAATAAAAGGCCACACCATAACCTTCCTAGGAATAGGAACACAGCTCAGATACCTGTGAATTTAAAACCTTTCCACCAATGGCTAAGAACCGCAGCATCTAAAATCTACATTCAACATTCTTCCCAAAGAAAGTCTCAACATCCCATGAAGGGAGGTAGAAATGATTTTGCCAACTCGTGATGGGAAAATGAAAGCCCAGAACTGAAGACCATTTTAGATAGCTGGCTCTCCCACCCAAGATTGCGGCCAGGGGCCCTTTTCCTAGGTTGACCATGTACCTTGTTGGCCAAGAGCAGGCAGGGCACAGGCTCTCCATTGGGCAGGGTGAGCTTGCTGTCCAGATCCTGTTTCCACTTCTGGCTGTTGCTGAAGGTTGTGGCATTGGTAACATCAAACATAATGACACAGGCAGAAGCATCCCGGTAGTACAGTCGTGTCATGGATGTGAAGCGCTCCTGTCCTGGGGGGAGAGGAAAGTTCTCTAGGAGGTGATCCCGAGACCCAGTCCCAGAGCCCCTTCTAACAGCCTGCCCTTTCTGCCTTCACTGTGGGAGAGAAGGCAGTGTGCATAGTGCTTGAGTCCAGATGCTGTACCCACATGGTCCAAGTCCAAACCCTTGCTCTGTCATTTACTATATGTGTGACTTTGGACAGGCCAAGCTAATTATTTCCCATCTGTAAAGTGGGGACAGAAGTAGCTTTATCATAGGGTCGCTGAAGGGTTAATGAGTCAGTGAACCTAAAATGTTTAGAAAAGTGCTTGCCGCATAAGGGTTAGCCATTATTATTGTCTCTGTTCTCTGGGTAACTTGTTTCTCAACAAGGTCAGCAGAAAACCTGGAAAAAGCACCCTTCCCCTGATGCAGGAGCATCCACCCACAGCCTGGACGATCTGCCACCCTGCCAGCCCCTCCACCTACAAAGAGGCTGCTTTACATTTATTTACTTATTCGGGGCAAGACATCTGCAGAAAACATCTACAAAGGTTCTATGTCTATTCAGCTCGTGCATCCTCAGAGCAGCTCAATCATGCCAACTTTAGGGAAAAACTTCTGGTTTTACTGCCCCATTTTTTTTCTCTGGGAGCTGGCTGGTTCAACCGAAGTTTCTCCCTTTGTTCCTATACAGTCTTCCCAGCCTACCTGCAATATCCCACAGCTGGAGCCTCACCATCTCTGAGTCAGACCACTGGAGAACCTTCAGAGCGAAATCCACTGAAAACATAAGTATAATATAGTGAATAAAATTTCCCTTTAAGCAACTTATGGAAAACTGCAGCTCAAATAAGCAGTTACAACACTAGGGACACACAACTCCTATTTGTTTATTCATTTAATGTTTAAGCCCACAATGAGCTAAGCCCATACTCACATATTAAGTATAGGACGGCTCATTTATACTCATCTTCAGAAGGGAGTTTTTTGCTTTTACTCTCTTGTCAGACCAATTTATTTGATACTACTTGTCTCCAAGGCTGGAGCTAGGAGAGTAGGGGTAATTATGAAAACAATTTCTAATCATAGTCAGCAGTGTCCCAACCTGCGGCCCAAGATGGCTATGAATGGGGTCCAACACAAAATCGTAAATTTACTTAAAACCTTTTTTGGCTCATCAGTTTTCGTTAGTGTTTGTGTATTTAATGTGTGACCCAAGACAACTCTTCTTCCAGTGTGGCCTGGAGATGTCAAAAGGTTGGACATCCTTGTAATCTGGGAGATTTAGGGGTTTTTTTTCAGGGAAGGGATGATGAATGGGGTAGAAAGGGGAAATGAGGTAAGCGGTGACTTTTGCCTCTGCCACATTCAATTTCATTCTTGGCTTCTAATCCAATTGTATTATGATACAAACATACCCTTGGGGGAATTCTACATCCTCCACTAGTCTGTAGGAATTATCTTGGGCAGGAATGGGATCAAGTGCAAAGGTCCTAGAGGATTCCCAGAGAGGAGACAGTGTATAGACGATGCTTAAGAGTTGTGCTGGCTCGTTTGGTTGGAGTGTTGTCCTGTAGACTAAAAGCTCATGGGTTTGATTCCCGGTTGGGGATGGTGTGAGAAGAAAATGGATCAATGTCTGTGTCCCTCATCAATGTCCCCTCCCCCCGCCCCCTTTGCCTTCTTCTGTCTCTAAAAGCAATGAAAATTGTCCTTGGGTAAAGAAAAATAAAATTAAAAAGTTGTGCTGGAATACATTGCAACACATGCAGATGCTGAGACCCATGAGTTAAGGCTCGACGAGCAAGCCAGGGAAAGAGCTTTTTGATAAGGGGAGAAATAGGATAATTTGTGAGGTTTGGAAATACACTTTTCCATATCTGTGACAGAAATAAAAGCTGGGGAGAGCTTAGAATAAACACTGAAAAAAAATTAGGCAGAGTCACTTACATTTTTTACTAAAGGAAAACTAAAGAGCAAATGCTAAAAGTTAATTATTGGGACACTTTTAAACCAAGTCCATGAAACAGGGACCCTCCTATTATTTAGGAGGTGGGGGAGGCAGAGTGGATTGAAACTTTAAACCTTTAATTTTGCTGGATGTTCTTAAGGAGGATGTTTTAATTGCACTCGTTAACTTGTTAAAATTTTGTGATGAATACCAACACACATTTTCAAAATTTACATTGGTGCAAGGTTTTTTTCTTCTTAAAAAAATTCTTTTAATGGAGAGAAATGTTTATTACTCTCCTCCTTCACCAGCTCTGCCCAGCTAAGCACTTTCTAATTGACAAAAAGGCATTGACAACTTCTGAAAAAAAAACAGTCCAAAGACCACATCTGTGAAGAAATAAAACTCTTAAGGTGTTCTCTTCCTCTCTAAACCAGTTTGAGAGAAGAAAGTTGGGAAGACAGGTCAGAGAAGTGGTGTATTTTACATTCTTGAAGAATTCCTACGTTGCCTTTTTGTTTAAACAATCAAGGGACAATAAACACACAGCTCAGCAGTCCTGACAAGCATCTGACTGTGTGGCCTACGGACTTCTCCAGGCAGACATCAGACATCCCCCAAACAGAGCTAGGCCAGGTCAAATGCCTTCCTGCCCCTCTGCAGCTGCCCGGAACTCCCGTGAGACGCGGGACAGCAGCCCCGGCTGGCATCTCGCCAGGCCCTCCGCGGGGCCTCAGCTGCCTCTGCTGGCCCGAGACCTGCTCAGGGCTCCTTGGGGATGCTGCACGCAGGAAGAGACCCGGGGTCAGAGCTCCCTCGCGGAACGCAGCAATTGCTCATTTTCTCCTCCTCCCTTCCCCACGTCTCATCTCCACACCTCCACTCTGTCCCTTCCTGGCCAAAAACCTGAGGAAACCCGAAAAAGGCAAGCAAATCAAAAAACAGCAATTATTCTCTCTAGGATCCCAGGCACCTAATTCCTGACCCGAGGAAGGACCCAACGACAGCAGATCCCCAGCTACCACCCGACTGGAGTCCACAGCTCGGGTCCGCGCTCCGGGCTTCTTGTCCACCCCCCTCCCCGCCGCGACGTCTCACCTCCCACCGTGGACTTGTAGTGTTTGCTGAAGCTGTCCTGTGAATATCTTTGCACCAGGGACGTCTTGCCCACCGCGGCGTCCCCCACCACCAGCACTTTGAACAGGTGGTCGCGGCTGCCCATGGCTAGCTAGGTGGACGTCTGAGGGAGGCGGGAAGTGGGGGAGTCGCTGTTTTAACCCCTTTGGCTCCTGACCCCCTTCAAAATGAAGTTCGGCATTCCGCCCACCGCCTGTTGGGGCTGCTCTGACGAGAAAGCAAAAAGGGAAACTTGGCACTCAACCTTTACGCGCTTCCTCCCCGCGCGGCCGCAGCCTGGGTGGGGCACGGGGGCATGGGGCGCAGGGCGAGAGCTCCGAGCCCCGCAGCTGCTTGCACCTTCTCCCCGTCCCGGCCCGACTTGCGGAGAAAAGGAATGGGGCTTGGAGGTGTATTACCCGCCGGGATTTCCCCGGATCGGCCCCGGCGAGCGACTGAATCTGGCCAGTTTATTTCCCGGGTTTGGCCAGAAGATGGGGACCCTCCCTCCACTGAACAAACCAATCTCGAAGGAAGGAGCCGCTCACGCCTTCACTCACCGGACCCAGCAGGCGCCGTCCCTCTAGCCTACTCCGCACGCGTCACGTGTAGGGTTGCTCAGAGAACTACATTTCCCAGTTTACCTCGCGCTGAAGATAACAGTTAAGTGCGGGGACTGTCCGCGAGGGCCCCCTGGGAAGTGTAGTTTATGCAGTATTTTTTGTTTTTTAAAATTTACACAAAGTTTCGAGGCTTTCGAACTCCTTCCACTTTTCGGAGTCTTATTTTTAAATAATTCTGGAAGAGAAGAGATTCTTAAGAGAGGTTCATTTGACATTATGTCGCCTTCCACAGATAGGTTTCTCATATTTAAAGGTTTTATGGAGCTAAGATTAAAAATTATTCCCTGAATTAGTCCCCTAATATAAACTCATGCCTCATCCCTCATGAACCAAATGAAGTACGTTTCCTATTCTTTCAGTTACGTAGACAAACCCAGGATCTTGTGAACATGATAAATGCCAACTCTTACATTTCCCCCATGACGCTAATATCGCATCAGTCAAGTTCAGGGACACTTGATCGAGAGATTGACCTTTACGAAAACTCATGCTGTTAATGTTAGTTATTAACATTGCTAAATGTTAATAATAATTATACTAGCCACAGCAGTAAAGATAGACAGAAAACAAGAGACAGTTCCTCATTTTCATTTCCACAATTCTTAGTCTAGCTGCGTTACTCGTATACCATTTGAGCTAGAAATTTTTGGAGTAAGAGGAAAGTCCTCTTCCATTTGTTGCTTCTGTTGTTCATGAATAATAATTAGTTAAACTATATTTTTACAAATAATTGTAATTTTTCAACCTGTAACTTTTTTGACCTACCTGTCCTTTAGGTAAGAGTTAAGGGGATAAGGAGCCTCCTGGCAAGCAGAATAAGCCTCATTGCATATGCATTTCTCAGGAATGGAAGAGAAAGCAGCAGGGGCATGGGAAAATAGCCCTGCCCAGATTTCCTGATGGAGAGGCTACCACTCAAACGTTCTGTGAGGAAAAAACATCAGCATGGTTCACAACTTATTTAGCCCAAAATGTTTGTTATCCAGGTAGGAGAGGTCAGGCTGGGCTACTCACATTCCATGACAACTCAGACCTCTTTCCAGCTGTCTTTTCTCATTTCCCATTGGCTTTGATTTAGTTGACCACGCCTTGAAATTTGTTTCTCACATGGCTTCTGTGACACTTCTTTCTTGTTTGCCCTCTATTTTTCTGATAATCACCTTTTTACCGTCATGATTTCTTCCCATCCCATCATCTTGTAAGTGAATATTTCCTTAGGTTCCTGTACTAATTGTCCTTTAAACTCTTTATTTAGTAAATTGCCATTGGCCTCAAATGTCTCTCTGAGTCTTGACTTTATTTATATATTTATTGCCAATCAATGATGTTCAACTGCCATAAAGGTACATCCACTTGGAAGTCCTGCCACAGCCTCTCTCTTACTACATCACTACAAAAACAGCTCCTTCTCTCGGTTTCCCTATTTCTGTCACTGTCTTCATTATTGCTTCCCTCCAGTCAGGTTTCAGACCTCAAGCTTTTTTTTTTTTTAAGATTTATTTTATTGTAGGAAGAACAGTTAACATGAGATCTACACTTTTAGCAAATTATAAAGTTTGCAACATAGGTACAAGGCTTCACAAAAGGTCTCTAGAATTCATTCATTTTGCTTAACTGAAACTTATGTCCCTTGATTAGTAACTCCCCATTTCTCTCTCCCACGGCTCTTAACAACCACTATTCCATTATTTGATTCTATAAATTTGACTATTTTAGACAACTTGTCTAAGTGGAATCATGCAGTAGTTGTCTTTCTGTGACTTGGTTGTTTCACGTAGCATAATGTCCATAAATGTCATCCATGTTGTGGCTTATTGTATAATTTTTTTCTTTTTAAAGACTGAATAATAGTCCATGTATGCATATACCACTTCTCTTCATCCATCCGTTGATGGACATTTAGGCTGTTTTCCTATATTGGCCATTGAAAATAGTGCTAATTTGGGAGTTCTAGTTCTTCAAGATCTGATTTCAATTTTCTTGGATCAATACCCAGGAGTGGGACTGCTGGATCATAAGGTAGTTCTATCTTCAATTTTTTGAGGAATCTCCGTCCTGTTTACCATAGTGGTGATACCATTTTACGTTCCCATCAACAGTGTACAAGGGTTCCAATTTCTCCAAAGCCTCACCAACACTTGTTGTCTTTGGTTTTTCTCAATAGCCATCCTGACAGGTATGAAGTGATATCGCATTGTGGTTTTGATTTGTATTTCCTTGGTGATTGCTGATGTTAAATGTTTTTTCCGTATACTTGTTGGCTATTTGTATGTCTTCTTTGGAGAAGTCTGTTAAATCTTTAGCCAATTTTTAAATCATGTTATGAGGGGGTTTTTTTTTTGCTATTGTAGAAAGAAAACTGAGAGTTATTAATATTTCCTTTTTATACACATGCCTTTACAGCCCCCTCCCTTTAATAAAGTCAGTCACCACATCCTACTAATTCTTTCTTCAAAAACAATTCTCCCACCCATTCTTTCTGCTTCATATCCAGAGCCACTTTGCTAGTTCAGGCTTTCGTTATCTCACACCTGGATCGTCTTCAATAACCTGCTTTTTGGTCTCCCTGATTCTAATTTCTTCTGCCTTCAATTCATCCTACACAACTGGCCAGGATGATTTCCCTAAAACACCTTTGTTCCTTCACTGTCTACCAACTATCCCCCAAATGGCCAACCTTCCTGAGCTGGTGTCCAAAGCTTTCCATGCACAGGCACCACGCTGCCTAACCAGCTCTATTTCACCTTATCTCAAACAGAAACTCCGCCACCCCCACCAGCAAGGTGAGATTCTCTATACTCTTTAAAAGACCAATTTCATTTTTGACTTGGTATCTTTGCCCACGGTACTTCACCTGTCAGAATACCCTTCAGGCTTCGTTTCTTCACCAGTATCTTACCACAGTTGAAGTTCTTAAGGGCACTGATGAAATATAGACATTCTGATTCTGTAGGGCTGGGGTAGGACCCAGGGGAATCTGCCTTTTTATCAAGTACTCAGGTGATTCCTAGACCAGATTCCACTTTGAAAAATGCTACTGTAAGGCCTGACCTAAGTATGAACTTATTTATAAACAGTTCCTTTATTACTGTAGCCCTGATTCATTACCTGCCCTGATTTATTACCTGTAGTATTTACAACCTGTTTGAATTATGATCATTTAACTATGTGGACTATATAATAGTTTATAATTATTTAACTTATAAGCAACTAGCACATTACAAAGGAAACACATATTTCAAACAAAATTTTGGCCCAGTGTCTGTGAGAGGAGCTACTTGAAGTTCCCCAAATCAGAAAGGAGAGGAGTGAAAATATTTAAGAGGGAAGATTAGCAAGTTTCTAGTGTCCCCTCAAGTCACATCATTCCTTTGGTGGGGATGGGGGTGTATTTCTTCGATAGTAAGTTGCAGTTTCCCAGAAAGAGTTTAATAAAAGAGAGGGAAAGCGCACTGAGAGTGCCAAATGACTGATTTGCAAGTACACATTTGGAACACAGTTTATTGGAAGCTGGCAGAAGTGGTCAGCCTTACTCTGCTCCTGTCACATTTCCTATAGGTGTCTGCCTCTCTCCTTTTCACTTCTCATTCTTTATTTTGAAAAATTTCAAACCCATAGAAAAATTAAAAGAAGAGCACAATGCATATCAATATGTCCTTCAGCTGGATTTCCAAAGACTAACACTTTGCCATGTCTGCTTCGTCTCTGTGTGAGTGTTAAACAATCTGAAAATGTATCACACCAAATTCTTCAGCAATGGCTCCTAATTATGTAATGCTCCTACAAAACTAAAAGTACCATTATCACATCTAAGAAAATTAACATTAGCTCAATAATATCATAAACAGTCTACATTTACATCTATCTATAGCCCCCAAAGTATTTTTTTTCACACCCATCCAGAAAACACAGTTCATGCATTACATTTGGTTGTTTTATTTTTCAGTCTTTTTAAATCTAGAACTCTGCTGTGTCCAGTAGCTATGTGTGGTTATTTAAATTAATTAAAATTAAGTAAATTCAAAAATAAGCTCATCAGTCATGATGGCCACATTTCAAGTGCTCAATTGCCACATGCGGCTAGTGGCTACTATATGGACAGTGCAGATATGCAGCTATAGATGGGTACAGGCTAGTTGTCTTGAAGAAAGTCCCACATTATGGATTATCTGATTGTTTTCTCAAAATGAGATTCTGGAAAGAGCCTTTTGTAGAGGATGGGGTATATAATTTATGTCACTAATTGATGGTGGCAGTTGGTGATGCTCATATCGAAGTATAAATTCAATAAATACTTACTAAAGAAGTGACCCAGCACAAGCAATCTACTAAGAACTCGGGCATTTGACTTCAAATAGGGGAGAACGAGCTTATATGATCCCCAGAGCCTCCAGCACTGTCTGCTCACAGAGCAGAGAGGTGCTTTGTGACATGAAATGGAGGCTGAAGCAACACAGCAAGTGGCCTGGTAGCATGGGGCAGGGTGCACCCAGAGAAGGGTGAGGCTGTGGGCTGTAGCTGCCAGCCCACCCTCCGGGCTCATTGAAAAAATCTCAACTTTCTGGTGAGTGCTTGGGGCAGAGGGGGCAGTGGGGACAGTTTGGTGAGATGCTTGTGGCCCAGCTAAGCATTCAGCCGCAAGTGTCAGTAGCAAGGTGTCCTAGGAAACGTTCTACAGAGACAGGCTGGCGGGCTCACAGAGCGGCTTGCGGATCACTCCTTGGCGGGCTCCTGCCCAAGAGTCGGTGGCCAGCTCTGAGCCTGTGACTATCTAGGAGAAACCTCAAACTCTAGTTTTTACTGCTCTTGTTGCCATATCTGCCTCCTTCCATGGATAAGCCTCCTTTCCACCCCATATAAGGATGAGGGAAAGAAGATATTAAAAGGGTGGACGCTAGAGGGGAAATTTGGTATAAAATACTGTGTGGTCCCACTGTCAATGTGGCACTGGGAAAGTCACATCTGTAAAAGGAAGGGGTTCCCTTTCAACACAGATGATTCTGTTCTGATTTCCTGTGTCTTTTGAACTTTGTAATAGGTGAGAACGGCAGAGATTATTGCATTGATAGGCTGTCTTATTTAACCCCAACATCCTCATCCCCCAAGAACTTGGAAATACCATCGTCTTCCTCAGCCTTCTCAGAGTTAAACTCTAAATCAACATGTAATGAGAGCTGCCCAGGCAGGAGACTGGACTGACTGAAAGAAGAAACATTTCTAAAGAAGGAATGTATTGATCTGAAGGGAAGCTGGTCAGCAGCAAAGACAAGACCTGCTGAGAAAATACTGACCACACCTCTGGGCTCTGTTTGGCAGGGTCCAGAGTCTCGTGGGGGAACATGGAGACTCATGCAGCCGACTAACAGGGCCTGATGCCATTCTATTTTCAACTTATAGAACTAACTTCTCAGTTAGGATTCCAAACACTCCAGGTACCTTCTGATCATCTGCCTTCCTGTGTAGCTTGCTTCCAGGAAGTGAATGTGCTGGTCAGGCTGCCATATGTCTGTTGGGCCCACTTACCATCTGGTCCTATGCGCAGTCCTCTGTGAGCCTGTGGGTCCAAGTCAGCCTCCCTGAGATGATTTCTGGGTGGGACTGAGTTTCTGAGCCCTGGGGATGAGGCTGGTTCAGAGTCACAGTGCATCCACCCAAGGGAGACCTATCCATGAAGCCGGCTGGCCTTCCTCACTGCACAGCTTTCTCCACCTTCAGCTGCAACCTTGTCACCGATTAATAAAATGCAAGGTAGGTCCAGGTCTATTTACTTGTTCATTCACTAGTTCCTTCCTATCATCCCAAATTGTATATTCTGAGTATTTCTCTTCTCATTTTGGTACCACCACCAAGTGAATAAACATTATATAATAATAATAAAAACTTCTATTTATTGAATATTCTGCATGTCCAGCAGCTCCATTGAGAAGGCATTATTGTTCCATTTTGCAGATGGGACAATTGAGGATCAGAAGAGGCTCATTATGGTCGCTAGTTCAGACAGCTGGGATTCAAATCTATGTCTGTCTACCTCTAAAGCTTGTGTTTGATTGTTATTACTTAAATTTTTACTTATTTTTAAATTTTATTTATTTTAGAGAGAGGGGAAGGGAGAGATTTAGAGAGAGAGAGAGAGAGAGAGAGAAAGATCAATTGGTTGTCCCTGGAATGCACCCAACCAGGGACCTGGCCCACAACCCAGGCACGTGCCCTGACTGGGAATCAGTCTACTGAGCCACACCAGCCAGGGAATTTTGTTATTATTTTTAAAATTTAGCTGCAAGGAGACACCAGGGAGACGTCTGAGAACACGAGTATAGCATCCTCAGTGTGTTTTCTAAGAATTTCCTCATTCCGAACGTGGACATCAGCTGGATTCTTATTTACTGAGGTAAAAAAAATAAGAATCTGCCTTCATTGTAGAAGGCAGCCTGGCAGTCGTGTCTGGTTGGAGTAGGAGAATTCTTGCAAGGCCCTGGGGTGTCCCAGAGGATTCAGGCTGCCAGCTTTGACCATGATACAGAAAAGAAGATAACCTAGATCCTAAGCAAAGCAAGAGACAGAGAACATAGAAGTGTGGGCGCTACGTGACGCATGGTTATGTCCTCCATAGCATGGCAGTTCCAAGGGAGAAAGATCAGTAGCTGTGCCCCTGCTTCGGGAGTGGTTCCCCCAAGTACCTCAGGTAATGGTGACATCCCCCCCGCCCTTTGCGAGCCTGTACGCAAGAATGGTTTGGTGTCGGGCCTGGCAATCAGGGGATCTTAGTATTTCATGTTTGACACCTGGGATAGGTCATTCATTCTCTGAAAACTTTAGTTTACCTTTCCATAGATTTCTAACTCTTATATATCAAATGCTTCATTTCTGAACAATTTTTGAGATACTCAACAACTTAGGTAATGTACTTGAAACTCATGTGACAGTCTGTGGCACTCAAGGACAGATAAACGTGGGTGTCCCAGACAGGCCACAGCTTGGAGCTCCCTTAAAGCGATGTTCTCTGTCTACTTGTTCAACATTTATGTGATAGGAGCTAAGAGAAAATAATTTCTGTAATGATCAAAATAAGGAATTTGTTCCAATATGTTCAAAATAAGGAATTTATGCCACACACTGAATATAACACAACATTTAAACTTATTTGGCACTTATTTGGAATTATTTTTCATTGAAAAAATATCACCAATAGCTAGAGAGTAGTAGTTATCCATGATGAACTAAACATGAATATAGCCATAAAGTCTTTGAAATTGTTTAAAAATTCTTTTCTGACTGAACAAACTTTTCTCACTTTTTTTTTTTTTTGCAATTTGTTTTCAAGTTTTAGGGTTTTTAGAAAAATTTAAAAAATTTTCCAAGCCAGAGATTTTCCTTGGAGCTTATATTTAGTTAATGTAATAAAATACAGTATCATGCAGTAAACAGTACTATACTGTACTTTATTCAGCTTCTGACTTTTAGCTGACGAAAACAGCAAACTTGAGGAGATTGTCAGCTGGCTGATCTCAGGGTTGGTTAGCAGTGTTGCCTGTAATTATGTTGCAAAAATATCAGCAGAGATAGGCTGGCATGGGGGAGGCATGTTTGTAAATGTCCATTGGAAGATACTGTCTATGTTAGTAGACAATTAACATTTTGCAGTAATGCAAGGTGCCTCATGAAAGACTAAGACAACAAAAGGTACCATATTTCTGATTATTTTAGGAACGTGCTTGTATTTTCCATCCCGGGGCACCCTGGCCAGCTGTTTCACCCAGCTTCAGGCGCCATGGCTGAGAGAAGCCTGGGTGTGAATATAGGACCTTGGGCAAGACATTTAACTACTCTGGGCCTTGGTTTCTCTCTCACAGAACGGTGAGGTCTACTTTGTGATTATTAGAGATACTTTTGAAGTTGTAAATGAGGCCATTCATATTTAAAAAGATACTATGCTATATATTAAAACATACAAACAATAATTAGCATGCAATTGTCCTCTTTCCATTAAGCCTTAATAGCCTTATATAATATATTGCTGCTTTGAAGAGCTAGTCTTAGAGCCCAGGTTTGTTATAAATCACCAATTTCTTAAATGTTCTCACCAAAAAAAAAGGGGCGGGGAGGGGATAAATGTGTAGACTCATGAATGTGTTAATTAACTCAGTGGGGGAATTCTTTCACAATGTATATCAAATCATCACCTTATACACTTTAAATATCTTATAATTTTATGTCAGTTATACCTCAATAAAGCTGAAAAAAAAAGGGGGCTGATTACTGAGATGGATAATGCTCAGCATTCAGTATATGCTACATAATACTCTCACACATCCTGTGGGGGATGTGTCCAAGGGTCCAATGGTTCCTGGCTTTGAAGTCAACCCTGGGTGGAGCTGCACTATGGCTCTGCTTTGTCACAAACACGTGGCCGCCCTCAGTCCTCTGAACGCCAGTCAAATGGAACTGTCTGTAGTTCCCAAAAGAATCAGGCTCGCTTCCCTGATTAGCTTATTGGTTCCCCTCTAAATGGTTCTTTCTTCGCCCACTTTGTAACTCCCGTTCTTCCAGGCTTCCTCCACGAGTTCCCTGAGCCTCAAGATGTGACTGAGTGTCCTTTCCACCTGCCTGCTCCTGTAGCCACCCTTGATTTACACCTATGGTCAACGAGCTGACATTGCCTAGTCATTGACCCCCCTCCCCCTCTCTTTAATATTGACTAGTACTTTTGGATTTAGTATGTGCTCATTGACGTCTCCCAACAATCCTAGGAAACAGGTTTTAGTACAGATGAAGACACTGAAGCTCAGAGAGGGTAAATTACTTGCCCCAGGTCCCACAAACACAAGCAGAACAGCTTTGAACTTGGGCCTGACTCCAAACCCTTTGCAGTCAACCATAAATTTCTAAGGGCTTACAGGGTTGAGCACAGTGAAGGCATATAGTAAATATTAAACAAAAAACAGCCATTATTGTTTTGACCCAACCAGATTGGAAGCCTCTGCAGGAAATCCTAACCCCTTGGCACAATACCCAACAGAGGCTGAGTCAGTGAGCGGCGAAGGCTTGGTTTCTGGAATAGGCCCCAGAGCACCACTGATTGTTTCTCAGTAAATGACTGATGTGTGTTTTCTATCACACCCCTCTGTATTTAAGTGGTTTCATTTCTTGTCACACTTGGGCCCCTTGCCAAGTCTGAGCGAGAAGGAGGTGGGACTACAGAGGGCCCCAAACAGCTGAAGCTTTATGATGAGACATACAGGAACGACCAACCACCTAAATAAACATCCTCTTTATTTACCAAATATAATTTATCAGTTATGTTGACATTTGTCAATTCAGTTATAGTAACTATAAATAATTCTCTTAAGACACAGTTCTGTAACTTTTTAAGGATACAAGAGTAAACCAATGTCGCTCCTTGTAGCCAGGCCAAAAGTACATGCAGTTTGTGCAGTCAGGGGAAAAGAAATGAAATCTTTCATGAAAGTCAACTCCATTTTCTTGCATCTCGCCCCACAGTCCTCCTTTACTCACACATTCAAGGCTGGGGGCATGCCTATCTTCCTGCCTTTTTTGGCAAAGGAAGTTGCTCTGAAGTCTTCCAAGGCAGCCGGGCCAAACTCCAGAGACAAGGAAAGGGTGTGACTGGGGCAGGAGGGACTGGGGACCACAGGGCACAGCTTCAGGGGCAGAGGAGTTGGTTTTGATGCCTGTACAAGAAGAGTCTATGTGCAAATGTGTTTGCAGGTGGGAAACAAGATACAAAGCCTGAGGAGCAGAAACAAGCCCAGGCTGGTGTGAATGAACTCTGTTGGACACAATTCCAACCAGATAACCTCTACAATTCCTTCCAATTCTAAGGTTCTAGACTCCAGTAGATGGCCTGGGTGGAAATGGAGGGAGAGAAAAGACAGAATCTGGAGGTATAGGGCAAGTTCCTGGGATGAGGCATGGTGTTGGTAAGAGACAAGGTCATTTCTTGGCCTTCCCCTGGAGGTGGGTCCTTAGGGGACAGAGGGGAAGGCTCTGGAAAGGCTGTAGAGAGGCTAGAAAAAAAATCCTGCACCCAAACACCCAGATTTGTACATGTGTGAGTGTGGACAGATTTCCCATCTGTTCAGAGTTAACACATGGGCAGGAAACAGAGACTCCAGTGTTCTCCCAGCCTTGTGCTAGGCAGAGAAGAGTAGAGGCAGCTAGTTGATGTCTAGTCTACTAGTTCTGATGTCTAGTCTATTAGTTCTGAATCCATTTTTAGGTGGCTGGTGAGGAGAGGTAAGGGTGGGGAAGGTGAGGAAGAGAGAGACAAACGCTGGCTGAGCCCCGGGGCTGGGAGCTCCAGCTGCAGTCAGCGTTGTACAGAAGTGGCATCTAGGAGGGAGATCCAGAGGCAGAACTGGGCTCGGCGATACAGACGCAAATGCAGCAAGGCAACTTTTTCTGCCAGATTTGAAGGAGCATGTGGCCTTTATCTGGGGAATGAGGCGAGGCTGGAGCTGTAGTTCCCTTACCACTGGCTAGTCAGTGCCTGGTACGGTACCTAACACATAGGCACTCAATAAACACTGCTCAAAGAATGTTTCAGACCATGCCCGCAGAAGTCCTCCTCTTGGAAGGGCTGTGAACCTGCTGAATGAGTAAATGAATGAATGGTGACTATGGGCAGAAGTTAAGGGGGAGGACAAGTGACCTCCATGACACGACAGAATGCATGATTTTAGGAAGTGACAGACTAAGGTGACCACATGACTGTGTATTCTCAGGAGAAACAGCAGCAATGAGACAGCCCTGGTTGCCCTCAACCTCCCAACCATTCTCCACATAGCCATTCCTGTCCCTAATCTTGGAACCCAATCTGGCAAGCTCTGGGCAAGCGAAGTGCTTAGAGACAATTAGAGATGCAGGTGAACAGAGATAAAAAGTTGGTCTTCTGGGCCCAGAGGGGAAATAATAAATCTTGGCAAACTGTGGGTGAATATGGGTCAACCAAAAAACGAGGCCATGGCTCCTTTCTTCCTGAATGTGACAATCAATTACAAAAAGATCACTGGGTGGGGTCAGAGGTGCTCACCAGGCAACTGGGGAAAGGGCAGGTGCACAATTTGAAGAGTCAGTCCACCTCACCCTTTCTGGGAGCAGAAAGGCCTTGGTCCAGAGGGCAGAGAAGAGAGTTAGGGTTATGTGGAGCTAAGAGCAGCTGTCTCCTGTCTAGTGCCTTAAAGTTGGTCCATTTCTAGAAGAAGTGTATGTGTGTGGGGAGGTGGGGGTACTGAAATTTATCCCTCTGTTTAACACCCCCCCAAAAAAAAGAATGAAAGGAAACAAAAACACCAGAGCCCACTCACAAAGGGTTTCTCATTAGGGCCAGGACTATGTTTGTTAAAGCACATCCCCAGATTCCAGACAGAAAGCCCTGCCCCAATCCACCTCACCTGGAGGCACCCACCGTGAAATTGCACTTGGTGATTGTCTCAAAATCTACTTGTACTGCTTGTCTCAGTCCATCTGTCCTGCCTGAATTCTCGCTATACAAACTTGGCTCAATGTATAAAAATTCCCATTGAAAATAATGAGAATTTGGTATCAAAGTGAAGTCTTAGAAAGAGGTGGGAGTGTGGAGTGGGGTAGGGGAAGGGGAACAGAAGAGAAAATTCAAAAAGAAAGTGCAGAGGGTGTGGAGAAGGTTGAGTGACCAGGCTAGTCCCCGACATCCGTGTCTCGGTCCCCAATGAGCCAGAGGACGTGGAAGCTGAGTGCTAGGAGCCCTGTGCCAAGCAGGTCCCCCAGAGCTGTCAAGTACGGGATGGAGAAGTTGTCTGGGTCCAGGCCCCGGCCCCACATCCAGTGCACCATCCAGTCCGCGATGTACAGGAGAATCAGCACCTGGAGAGACAGAAGGGTTCACCTGAGCCACCCCTCTCTCCAGGGGGAGCCAGAGGCCATGCCATCGGACTCATTCATGGCGTCACAAGGCTTGGCTCTCCACAGTCCTTATGCTGGGACAGCTCATCTTTCCAAATGGTGACTTCTCTGTGCTCCTCCACCCCACAATCTCCACCATCCCCGCCTTAAACAGAATGACACACGTAAGGTAGCTCTTTAGCAAGGAAGAAGCTGTACTGCCCGGGGTCACCCACTTCAGCATTACATTCTGCTCCCAAAGTTACCAAATGAGGGGTTTCTGGACCAAAATCCTACTTGCTGCGGGAATTCAGCCCTCTTGCCTCTAATTCTAGGTCATCCTATTCTCGGGTCACTCCAATTCCTGCCGTGTTGGCCTCTCCAGGAGCCCGGCAGGGGCCTGGGGCTGGAGTTGGCTTTTCACAGAGGGACTTCTCCTAGGAGCGGAGTGGAATAAGGACAGTGTTTGAGGCCACTGCCGGCACAGTCGTCTGAGTAACAGCTGATTAACCCAAGTTGGCTTCCTCCTGACCCTTTCCATTCTGCTGTTGTGAGCTCAAAGAATCCAAGTGTGTTTTAATGTTAGTCCTAGTAAAACTGAATCACAAACAAGTCTGCTAAATTCAAAGTAGACAGTGCATAGCAATTTAAAAGACATTTTCGATTATCTACTGCTTTGATTTATCTGTGCCCTTGCTTTCCCTCCATTACTACAGACAACTCAGAAAGATGTAGATTAAAACCTTGCCAGTGGGCCCAGGACCAGCAGCATTAATAGCAGCTGGGAGCTTGTCAGAATGAGAGGCTGGGCCACCCTCCCTCCTACCTTCTCTCATCTTCTATATCAGAATCTGCATTTTAACAAGATTCACACGCACTTTTAAGTTGGAAATGCACTTGATCTAGATGCTATGCTTCAGGGGGCAGGCCCACGTCTTCTGTATGCTCAGCACCATCCCTGACGTGTGGGCTCCCTAAATGGCTGCATTTGCGTGAGAATTAAATGGTCGCTAGCGGTAAAGCTCCCAGCACAGTCATTTGGGAGGTCTGCTCTTGACTGCACTTTGCAAATGCTGTGGTATGTAAATCCTGCTCTAAGGAGCTCAGATGCAGGAACTTGGAGGATAAAGAAGCTAGAATTGATACTTATTTTTAGGCAAACTTGGTTGTTCTCCTGACTTCTTTCCAGGGAGCAAAAGGTTACAGTTCTAGCGCCCTTCACATTTGTCCTCTGCTCTGCACACAGCCATCCCCCTCAATAACTTCACACGCTCTTCAGCGGCTTCAGAAGAGCCCCAAATAAACAACGTGGCAGGAAGAGTTCAGGACACCCCCAGGAAAAGAAAGGCAGGAGCTGTCCCTACACTTAACCTCCCGAGCAGGCCCTGGAACACATGACTGAGAGAGGGCAGCAAAGGATCAGGGAGAACTTTCACGTGGAATAAGCGCCAGGCTCTGGCTTGCCACAGGCCTAAAGAGAGCAGAGATGAGAGTGTCCCGCAGGGTGCTTGTCACGGATAACGGAGCTAAGGCTTATCCTCTCCAACGCAGACCAAGGGCTAACCTCTAGCCACAGACTCTCCTCTTTCCCACCAAGTGCACTTGCAAGAGAATGTGGTGACTTGGGTAACTGCTTCAAGGAAACAGCATATGGTTGAGTGGTTGATTCTCAGCCCTGTTCTTGCCAAAATGTCCCAACACACAACTTTTCTCAAGGTGGCAGTGAGGGGCTGGAGGGATAAGTGACTGCCAAAGACAGGGGGGCTGTTAAATAAATTAAGGTACATTTGTATAACAGAATAGAATGCAGCCATAAATAATCAGGGTGCTCTTCTCTTTACATATCGATGTGGAATGATCTCTAAGATGAACTGTTATGTGAAAAAACAGAGCTATCTTTGTGTAAAAAAAGGAGGAAGATAAGAAAAGTATATATGTTTGCTTGTATAGATATGAAAGAGCTTGGAGGGTAGATAAGAAATGGATACACGGATGGCCTACGAGGAAGAGAACTGGATGGCTGGGGAGGGGCAGAAAAGCAGCCCTTTCACGGAGGCCTCACTGTGGACCTGTAGAAAAATTTTGAACTGTAATATGACTGTTAGTACTGATTCAAAAAACAAATCTATCTATAGAAATTTAAAATGGAAGAACGAAGGTGAGTGTGGCTATTAAGGGGTAGCACGAGGGAGCCGTGTGCTGGTGGAATAGTTCTGTGTCTTGACTATGGTGGTGGTTACATGAATCTACAGGTAATGTAACTGCACAGAATTAAACACACACACACACACACACACACACACGAGTGCATGTGCAACTGCTGCAATCTCAATAAGCCCTATGGATTGTATCAGTGTTGACTTTCTGCTTCTGACACTGCACTGTCGTTATGTAAGAGGGCACCACTGGGGGAAACAGGTGAACAGTACAAGGGACCTCTCTTTATTATTTTCCATTTCCCTGTGAATATATAATTATTTCAAAATAAAATGTTGAAAAATGTAGTAATACAACAAAGGAGAGAGTGTCACGGTATTACAGAATGGCAGGGCTGAACAGGATCCTACAGGTTATCTAATATTGTGGTTTTGACACTTTTCTAAGGTGTGAAACCCTTTATTCATATGAAATCTCCTGAGGAAGCCCAGCATGCAAAACAGAGCCAAATGGAGCTCTGTGGTCCAAACCCACCTGCTCAGCACCCTACAACCACCTGCCTGAAAGTCACCACCTCTGGGTTATTCCTCTGTTTATAATTGTATCGCTGGGCCCAGAGATAATTCTACTACTGGGGCAAAAGTCACACTGCATGTTAGTGACTCTGCTGGAACTACGGCCTGTTCTCGCGAGCCCCTGTCCAGTGTCTGCCTGTCATCCAGTCCCAGAGAGAGGCGCAGAGGGTCTGATGGGCCACGCTGGGGCCTCCCCTCCCATCCCTGCAGAGCAGCCCTGCCTCCCCGGCGCCCCCGCCAGTCCTACCTGGAGCAGTGCAGCTGTCATGTAGAAGACGATGAAGATGAGCGTGAGCGTGGTGTGCCCGGCCTGCATGCAGCTGATGGTATAGAGGAACACCAGGTGTCCTGGGACCACGAGAAGGAAGAGGACTCGGGCCGAGCGAGAATTCACATCTGGGACCACGGAAGAGAACAGGGTGAGGAGGAAACCTGTCCCCAGAAAGCCTTTCAGAGTCAGGAGATACCATGCTACACTACAGGGCGACGGACAGCTTACAGCCTCTACCTCCTCAGCCCATGGGCCCCGGCCCCAGGGCATCTCAGCAAAGGAGAGCCTTCCTGCCTGCGACCTGCCTTCCACACCAGCTGGTGAGGTCCAGGAGAGAAAATGTGTATCCGGGCCTAGCTGTATCTTTCTTTTTTTTAACCGGTAACCCTACAAATATTTATCTATTTTTATTGCATTTTTTTCCCATTACCATTTATCTCCCTTATACCCATCACCTCTCCCCCTGCAATCACCATGCTGTTGTCCATGGCCAGGAGTCCCTTCTCTTTTTTGCTCAATCCCTCTACCCCCTAATGCCCGCCCCCCCGCAGCTGGAATCTGCTCTCTATACATGAGTCTGTCTCTATTTTGCTTGTTAGTTCAGTCTGCTCATTAGATTCTGCATATGAGTGAGATCATATGGTATTTGTCTTTCTCTGACTGGCTTATTTCACGTAGCATAATGTTCTACAGGTTCATTCATGCTGTCAGAAAGGGTAAAATTTCTTTTTTTATGGCCCAGTAGTATTCCACTGTGTAAATGTACCATAGTTGTTTTACCCCCCCAAGCTGTTTCTTAAGTGAAGTTTACTGACTGTTGACCCCCTCCCTTCAGGGCTGGAATGGACTTAGGGGGCTGGGACTCCGCCATTACCAGGACTGAAGAAGGTTGTACAAGGACTGGGGCAGCGGCGAGGGGCTTGCTCCGAGTTCTCCCCCGGCATTCCATTCATGTGGAGGAAGGTGGAGATGCGGCTGGCCTGCACTGCCACCAGATTGCCCCCAACACCTGTAGAGAGACAAACGACCCCAGACACGGGGGCGGGGGGCAGGATGAGTCAGAAGGGCATGACCACGCCCTAAGAGAAGAGCGAGGCATTAAAAAGAAAGACAAAGATTATCCGCCATACCCCCCCCCCCCCCCCCCCGGAAGGTACTCCTCCAGGCTGCTCCCATCCTTCCCGCTATGGAGATGGGGCAGTCAGGACACAGGCAGATCTGTAGGCTCGGGGCACCTGACTTCTCCAGCAGTGCAGTGTGTGCACCTGCTGTCACACATCGCCCAGGGGACGAGGCCCTGCCTTGCCCCAGCCCCTTTCCAAAGCTCTGAGCCGACTCGTGAACCCAGTGCTCTTGTGCCAGTTCCAGTAACCAATGCCAAGTATCAGGTTTAAGCTCTATGCTCTGTACTCTGGTGCCCTGCCCAGGAACGATGTTTGCTGTTGTTGCCATCCCACCCCCAACCTATTCCTGTTCTGAGCCCTGTGAGGCCGACTTCTACAGACTGTACCCCTCCAAAGCCCCACCCCCACTGCTTCTAGCTGGGTTTGTTCAAAAGGAGGCATCAGCAGGCGATCAGAGAGGGTGGGAGGAAACAGAGAGGTCAGGTATTTCTTCCCTGGTCCCTTTCCACTTTGTGGTGGTGGCTTACTCCTGTTGGGGGCAGAGAAGGGCTCTCTCTGGGCTTCCATAACACTGTTTTCTCCCCTTGACGCTTGAGGACTAGGGCTTCCTATTGTTGCTAATCCCTGGGTGCCTTAACATCTCTTGTTGGTCCTTCTACCCTGCTCCCACTTCTGGGAGCAGACCCTTCATTAAAGTCTTGAACTAACTGAGCTGGGTTCCCTCGCCTGCTAGAATGCTGACCAATACAAAGCCCCCCAAATCCTCTTTTCCCCTCTCCTTTCCCCTGGCATCCGAGGCCAAGACCTCACCGTTAATCACGGGTGTGAAGACAGCCATCCCTGCAAAGTTGGGGTCTGACACAGTCTTGTCCAAGATGAGGCCTCCCACACTACATAGACACAAAGACAAAATGACACAAAAGCCGTTAAAGGGTTCTGTTCCAGGTCCTGGGATGAGAGGGACTGGCCCACCTGGCCTTGGGCAGGAAGAGACACAAGGTGGCTCCTAGGAGTCCCTTGTCTTCCAGGCCTTGGTTCTTCTGCCAGAACCAGCTGCTGCTCGTAACATGCAACTGTCACAATGCTCCCCGAGCAAGCTGGGGGGGGTCCATTTCCCAAGCTGGCTAGAGGCACCGCCCACAGGGTGACCTGCTTGCAAGGACCTGGGCTGTTCTGCCTGCTCAGTATTTATTTCTCCTTCTGGTAACAGTGCTGAGCTCTTCCTCAGGGAAGAGCCTCTCTCAGACTCAGTTGCTGTGGTTCACATAACCTTACTCCAATGATGACTAGGCCCCAAACTCATCCAATCAAAGCATCACATCCCCACGGCCATAGTGATTGGCTCAGGGATAGTCATGTGACTGAAGGAGAGCCAATGAAATTCTGTAAGGGGACTTTGTGAAATTGTTGGAAGGTTCTCTCTTACTACTGAAATTAGTAAAACTAGGAAAGTGTAAACCTGGAACTGCAGGCCAGCACGAGGAAAGCAGAGCTGGGAGATGGCGAATACTGGGGCCCTGATGGTAAAATTTCTGCTCCCGAATCCAGTTGTGCCTTTTTAGTTCCCTAAGTCAGTGCATCCTGATTATCCATGAAACCCATTTCAGATGGTTTCTGTCACTTGCAATAGAAGGACACGTGACTGATAACACTATCGAAGGCATTTCTAGGGTCTGCGCCACGCTCCCTATCTTCAGGGCTTAAAAGGGAGTCTTTGGCAAGATGGAGAGGGTCGGGGTATGTACCCAAGGCTGGATCCTACCTGCTGATGGCCATGGCAATGATGACAGGCTCCCAGCCTGAGTACAGCACCTCCCTTGTGGATGGGCTCCGTCGAGCCAGCACCACCCAGACGGGCAGCAGGGCCACGAAGAAGGCACATACCAGGGGGTAGATGTACTGCCAGTTACCTAACAAGCAGAGATCAGAGTGGGGTGAGTCCCACGGCTCCCTCCTCCCGGCCTCCCCTAAGCTGAGCCTGCCAATATCCTAACAGATCAACAGCACTGCCACACTAAGTGCCTACAAATATGTTGCCTCATTTGATGCTCACTGTAAGCCCAGGAGGGAGGTGGGGCTTACAGTGAAGACTTTTCCCTTTTGTAGAGAAGACCAAGGTTGAAAGCTCCTCCAGCACTGGCCTAATAAGGGGCAGAGACCAGATTCTAGGTTTCCTTTTTTGATCCCCAGAAATCACGATCTCCCCTCCCCTTCTTTATTTTGCAAGCCAATTCCAGCCTTCAGTTACTTTCCTCTACCCCTTCCACCTTACCCCTCCAAGGGAAGCAAGAATCCACAGGACCCAGTAGGAACATACATATCTCTCCAATATATTCCCCCTACCCTTGCGGCAGGCATGAATTTGAGTAGGCACTTAGCCTCATCTCTCTAAGCGGGGGAGTTACTACAACTGTGTTCCAACCACATAAAAAACGAATAAGAAATGCTTACACATTTGCAGACACATAACTATCTCTCCCAACCCCACCCGGGAGTCCGCCAGATCACACCTTCCGTAGCCTCAGCCTCACCCAGCTCTAGGTAGAGTCCCCAGCTGATGCCTGAGAGCAGCGCCAAGGTAATGAGGTCACCCAGGCTGGCAGCAATGGGAGTGGCCACATTGTCTGGGTTGATTCCAATCTTTCGAGAGCCAATGATGACCCCAATCATGATCATACCTGGGGGAGAAGGGGAGAAGGGGAGAGGTCAGGATGGGTGAGAAGAAATAAATGGGTGGCAACAAAAAGAGAGACTGGAGGTACCAGGACCAGCTGACGCTTCTAGGGCAGCCCTCCCTATGCCCTTGCCCCTCCCCTCTCTTCCTTACCCAGTACGAGGGAGGCAATGAAGGCCGTGGCCACGCTGCTGGCACAGAGCAGGAAGGCATGCGGGATGCTGAAGTGGCCGTCAGGGATCCAGCCAAAGACGACGGCTGCAATGGATGCCAGGAAGCCCACCACTGTGGCCTGTACCTAAGGAGGGGAGTGGCGACTTGGAGGGCCCTGGGAGCAGCGAGCTTCTGAGCTGAGGCCCCCGAGCACTTGACAAGACCTTTTCCTGGCCTTCAGCAGCCCCAGGAGACAGGCTTGGCAGGACTGTCCAGTCCTCCCAAGCTGGAATGATGTCTGTTTATTTAGTTTCACACCAGACACTAGTACTGAGCAGCGTACCCTGCAGGAGCCCAGGACATGTTACTGGCTGAATGAGTGAGTGTTCCTCTGGGGACTAGGGTGAGGTTCAGGGGCGCCTCAGACTTCAGTCCAGAGACAAGGCCTGGGCCTGGAGGGGAAAGACTCCAGTGCAGCACCTGGGTGGCCTCAGGGGACAAGGGTGGTCGAGTGCGCTTCAGCACTCCAGTCTTCTCCTGAGTCTGACTGCGGGACATGAGCCCCCTGCAGCACGGGGAGCCAAGAACTGACACTGAGATACTGGAGTCTCTTGGCTGTTTTCCTGGGAGACCTGGTTGCCTCCTAAAGCTGCTTTGGGAGAAGCCGGCTCAGCAGTATGCCTGAGCTTCACTCAGGAGCCACCCCGCTGGGGCTGACCTAAGACCTTCGGATTTCTGTCAAGGGTGCTCAGCCCAACCTCCGGTTCCTGCTCTCTCACCTGGATGAGGGCCATGTTCCCAGTGATCATCCGCCAGAGTTCCTTGGGCGTGTCCATGTGCCCGATGTTGGCCTGGGAGAGGGAGGAGAGGGGACTGGAACTCCAGGCTGGAAAAGGCCTGTAGCTCAGTCCATTAGAACTGCACCTAGATCAGGAGGCAGCGCATGTGGCCTCAGACTCTGGGACTAGAAGGTGACCCCCACACAGTGGAGCAGGATTGCGGGGTAGAGTGAGAGGGAAGGAGCTCCTCGAGCTCCTGCAGCTGGGTGGGGGCGGCAACGGGGCTCCCCAGGCAGCCTCCTCCTTTTTCCTCGTCTCAGGAGAGCCACTGAGCAGTGCCAGATTCCATTCTCTGTCCTGCTCATCAGGGCAGCCCATCCCTGCACGGGTTACAATGACCCGATGGATCCCCAACCCGAAGCCAGTTTGCTGTCCTAGGCGAGGAAAGATTAGGTGCTGGTGGAGAGCTGCAGCCTCAGGAGTGTTTGGGAAGGAGTGAGGTGGCATGGGAAAAGGCCAGGAGTGGGGCAGGTTGGGGCAGGCAAGGCTGGCTGCCGCTTCCACTGCCTTCTCCAGACCTGTGGCCACGTAGGGACTTCCCTGCCACCTGGTTCCCTCAGCCTCCTGAGTTTTATTGTCTCCTGCCTCCCACCCCCGCGCTCTGCATCTGGTTCAGCCTCTGAACTATCATGGCCGATCTAAGCAGTTGTGGGAGGTAAGAGTGATGAGCACCCCTCCTCGTCCGTTCCTTTAAAGCCATAGGGGAAAGGGAATGGGGTGGGAGGGGGGCTGGGAAGGCCTGGCTCTGCTCCGGCCCAGCTGCAGAGTAGGGCTGGAGATCAGAGGAGGCCCCCATCTGTGCAGGTGGAGGGACCAGCATGATGCTCGCCTGTCAAAACTGCACAAATAGTCACGAGGCAGGTTGCAAAACAGGGGGTGGGGCAAGAGTCCAGCAACGGCTGGGACATCCAGAAACAGAGCCTGGGAACCACTCGGGGCAGGGAGCCTCTGCCAGGAGCAGGACACCCAGCCCGGGATCTCCCTACACCTGCCCACCCCTGCCCCACCCTCCAGGCGTGGGCCGTTGAGAAAGGCCAGTCATGATCTCCTCGCCTGGCGCTGTGCTGCCCGGAGTCCTCGGCATACCCTAGGCCTCCCCGCCTGGACACTCACTGCAGTGGACAGCCTCGATGCCAGGGTCATTTCCAGGTTCCCCTTGAGCCCCAGCAGTGCAGGCACCAGGATGAAGACCTCTGTCACCTTCTGGAACACTTCCCAATGCTGCAAGGTGAAAACAGATCTCAGGAATTTCAGTGCCCCAAAGCGCTGGCTTCGAGGTTGAACGGATAGTCTGGGATCAGGGGCTTGAGGAGGAAATGGAGTCAGCAGGGAGTAAGCACACCAGCCACTTTTCCTCCAAGAACCCTGGAACCAAACCAAGCCCACGGTGCTCCAAACAACACGGCCCCCACTTCCTGCCATGCAGAACCGGGGCGATGTAGTGGGTCTCTCCTGGTCAGCAGTCCCTAGCCTGGCTCCACTTGCTCAGCCCGCTATTTGGGGCCAGGGGAGAGAGGATGACGAGGACCCACACAGCTGCGTCACCCCAGGTGGCTTACAACCCCAAATTCTTTCGAGATTCTCCCTCAAATCGTAATCCCCAACCCCTTTGCCTTTAGTCCATTTTCGCTGTGGCCTCCGCCTTGGGTAGTGTTGTCTCAGCTGTTGCGAGCTGGGCTCCACAGGGCCAAGGAGATTAGAGTTTGTTTGGTTTCTATCTCTAAGGGCTTTGGGCCTGAGCCATGGCAATTTTCCTTCCAAACAGGGTTCTGAATTATTAGGACTGTAGCCCCCAAACCTCAAAATGCTCATCTGCAAGAGGCTTTTTACTCCTCTGCACTCCCTCACCCCACACACCTTCCCCAATCTCTGATCTAGGAGAGGCAAGTGTGCCCCTGCAGAGAGAGAGCGCTGGGCCAGGAGACATGGGTCCCAGCCTGCGACTGTCAGGCCTGGCTCTCCCAGCAGCTGCGCCAGCTCACATCTGTTAGGTAGACTCTGCCAGGCTAAGTGCTCTACATGCCCTTTCCATCTCACCCTATCAACACCCCCGTGAGGTAGGGGCTTTGAGTAATCCCACTTTATTAATGAGGAAACCGAGGTCCAGAGAGCACTACGCTCATTAGTGCAAAGAGGAAAAAAGTAGGAGCAAGGATTGGTTATTTGAAAGCTACTTTAGTTGTAACTGAAACCGAAGACTTGTAGAAAAGGCTGGAATTGTGTCTCCCTCCCTGGCCTTGGCAGCAATGTGGGTTCCTTTATTTGTTTTAAGAATGGAAAGCCTTCAGGTTTGGAGAGGGAGGAGGGGCCAGGCGACCAGGCAGAAGTACGTAGGTTGAGGCGAAGAGCTGAAATGTGCTGGGCTGACAGCCTTAGGTCTCCCACAAGACACGGGGCAGGGGTGAGGGGGGCCTCCCGCTGTCTCTCCTACATCCTCCCCACAGAGACGAGGGGGGGGGCGGCGGGGGGGGGTGCTTAGACAAGCTCAAGGACCTCAAGCTCCTGACTATAAAATATACAATTAAGGGGCAGATCAAGTGGTTTCTAAAGGCAATTCCAACACTGACACTCTATAGTTAAGGATAAGCAAGGTTGCAAACCAAACCTCCGGTGATATACCCTTCATACTGATTAGGATAGGTACTATTAAAAAAACACTCAGCAAAATAACGAGTGTTAGCAAGGATGTGGAGAAATTAGAACCCTTATGCACTGTTAGTAGAAATGTAAAATGGTGCCATCACTACGGACTACAATATGGCGGTTCTTCAAAAAATTTAAAATACAACCAAAAAATTTAAAATAGAGCCTACCACATGATCCAGTAATCTCACTGCTGGGAACATGTCCAAAAGGGTTAAAAGCAGGTTCTCAAAGAGTCACCTGTACACCCATGCTCACTGCAGCATAATTCACAATAGCCAAAAAGTGGAAGCAACCCACGTGTCCATTGATGGATAAATAGATAAACAAAATGTTGTATATACATATGATAGAATGTTATTTGGCCTTAAAAAGGAAGGATATCCTGTCACATGCTACAACACGGATGAACCTTGAGGACATTGTGCTAAATAAAATAAACCAGACACAAAAAGACAAATACTGTATGATTCCACTTATATGAGGTATCTAAAGAAGTCACATTCACAACAAATGAAAGTAGAATGGTGATGCCAGTGGATGGGGGTAGGGAGAAAAGGGAAGTTAGTGTTTAATGGGCACAGAGCTTTAGTTCTGCAAGACGGAACTGTTCTGGAGAGGGATGGTGGTGATGGTAGCATAACAGCGTGAATGTACTTAACACCGCTGACTTACACATTTAAAAATTGTTCAAATGATATACTTTAGGCTATGTTTTTTTGGTTTGTTTGTTTTTTTACCACAATTAACAAAAGATGATCAAGAATATCAGAGGGGACTAGGCCAGACTAGGACTAGAGACCAGAGGAGGCTGGACACTGGGGGTTGGTGTCCAGGCTCCCCTGGATAAGGCAGGGACCTCTCTTTACTCCTCGGGGGTGGGGGCGGGGGTGGGATGTGTGCGTGCGTGCGTGCGTGTGTGTGTGTGTGTGTGAGAGAGAGAGAGAGAGAGAGAGATATGGGCCCTGCCCCGGGGAAGGGTTCATCTCCTTAGGGCTACAGCTCTTGCCTGGACTCCGGATCTGGCCCCCGACAGGTGGAAGGCCTAGGACTCTTCTGAGGGAAGCCCCTCTCTCCCAGTAAGAGTTGCTGAGCTTCCAGGCACCCACAGGAAGAGCCAGACCCTTCCAAAGGCTGGAAGGGTTTGCATCCCTTCTCACCCCAGGGCCCCAGAGAGAAGGCAGCCCCAGCGAGCCCCATGTGCCCGGGAGCAACCCGGGGCTGTTACTCGTGGATGCTGGTGCATGCCGCTGGGGCTCCTGTTCCCTGCAGGCCTGGCCTTGCTCTGCTCGGCCTCCTCCTTCCTCACCTAAACTGGACAAGCAGCTTCAGAGAGGGAAGAATTCCCCTCTGCTCCCCTCCCCTTCGGAGGGTGGCCTCCTGTGGGCTTTCAAAGCTCCGTTCTGAGCCTCATAGCCCCTCCTCACTGCAAACCATCTGCCCCTCCCAGCTCCCTGGCTGCCAACTCTGCAAAAAGCTTAGTTCTCCAGGTAGGTATACATAATACATATGTACTGGCTGAGGGAAAGAGCCAGAAAGGAATACTCCAAGTGTATGTAAGTAATAGTTCCTGGACTGTTTCTAAGGAATATTGTTTGTCTTTATAATTATTTAAGAAAAACTATGTATGAAGCTCAGCTAACCCCCTCTGGCAGCCACTATAAGCACATCCCAAATCCCCCCTCCTTTTAATTACACAAGGATCTGGAAGGTGTGGGGTTTTAGTAGCACTAAGATGAGAGACAGACAGGCAAGGAGAGCAAGCAAGTTCTCCCAGTGCACACAGAATACAGCCTGGAACCTCACACAACCCGAGTCCAGCCCAGCAAAGCCAAGTTGGCACTTGGGTCAGAGCAGCCAATTCCTACACACATTCTTTCTTTACCCACAAAACCCTCTCAAAGATGCAGCTCGGGGCATGTGCGCACACACAGAGCTCTTGGGAGGGATGCTGGCGATGTGGAAGCAGCCCGGAAGCAGGGTGGCCCTGAGGTCGGGAGTCCGTAGTCTGTGACAGGGCAGACAGCGTGTCCTTCCTGCTCTGGCCTAGGTCAGGCCCATCCCGTCCCTCCTGACTGGGACTGCCTGCCGCTGAAGTCGGACCTGCCAGCCTTGCCAGCCAACCCTTCGCCCACACCTTCCTTTTCTGCTGGTGATGAACAAGAGGGGGGCTCCAGGAAGCAGGGCCCCACTGAGGGGGTGGTGCTGAGGGGAGGCATCTACACATTTCACTGCTTCTTGGACATGCAGCTCCTTTCCCAGTTCTTCCTTACGGGGGTGGGGGCTCCCTGGTCCCTGATATTCTGGGGGTAAGGGATGAGACTGCCTACCCCACACTCAGAAATAATCCCAATTCAGAGCAGTCATCTCAGTGGCCCTGCCAGTACCTCCTCTTTTCCTTCCGTCCCTTCCCAACTCCGGCCTCATACATAGACCCCTGTCTGCCTTGGAGCGTTCTGTCCCGAACTTCTTCCCCTTCAGGAGGGGAGCAACAGGGAAGAAAGGAAGTCACAGCCAGGAAGAGTTGGAGTCAAGACATGAAGCCTGAAATCCGCAGAGATAAGCTCTAAGCACAGGCTGTGGGAAAACTTGGGAAGTGAGCCTGGAGCTGACCTTCCAGACAGGATTAGAGCAAGCCCAGTCTTCACCTGTCTGAGCCACACTCCCCCCAGCGCCCCCCACCCTGCAGGCAGCCTCTGGCTGTCCAAGGAAAAGGGCCTCAGGACAATGCCAGGATATAGAGAGCCGTACAAAGCATGAGAAAAGGGTGGTCAAGTGAGACGGAACCTGGGTGTCCCGCGCAGGAATGCCCACGGACACGGAAGCGGGCCAGGCAGGAGAGAATGCCTCTTTCCCGATCCATTTGCCCAAGCCCACGCCTGCCATCTACTTTCCTCTTTGTAGGTGCTCCCACATGCATAGCAGGTAGAAAAGCCAGAGAAGGAGGTGCTTAGGGGAGGGGGTCTACTTCTCTTGAGACCCTCAGCAAATGAACAGTGAGTTAAAATATAGACTTAGGAGCCCCACCTGTCCTAACACAGCTGGGCATTCCAGTGAAGGTGCACATACCACCTGCTGCCACAGCCATCCCTCAAAAGGCTGACAGAAAAGGGTCCTGCAGCAGCCAGGATCATATTCCACCCCTTTCAGTTCCAACATGGAGCCCAGTCCTGCCTTCCCTCCCAAATGCTGCAGGAACTTTCAGCCACGGTGCGGAAACTGGAGTAGGCCGCAGTCCCTTTAGCCTTTTCCTACTTTTGGTCAGTAGACCAGCCCCTTATCTCACAGCAGAGCTGCCTGTACACAGTGAGTGGAGAGGAGGGCAGATAAGAGGAGACAGAAATGGGCTTCCAGGAAGAGCCTGGGTCTTCTGCAGTAGCAGGAAAAGGCTGGGGGCCCCGGGGCCAAGGAGACATCTGCACCAACACGGACTTCTGCTCAGCTGCCTTGAAACACTGGGGACACTCTACAGCCACGTCCTCCAGACGGCCCCAGTCTCTTAAGCACTCTCTACCCACTGCAGGTCATCTTAGCTCTGAAAGGGGAATGCAGGTGGGAGTCCTTATCTTCCTGCTCTTCCTGAATCTGAGATTTGTCAGTTGCCCCTTCCGCTCCCCTGGGTAACACCAAGACTCTCCCTTTGGTCCTATGTCCTGTTCTTTTTACACCCACTCCCTTCCGTGATAACCCTGCAGCTCTCTGCAGGGCCCACTCCGGCCCAGCTGTGGCAGGGAGGCTGGGGGAGGGGGACAAAGACAATCCAACCATTGTCATCCATACCAACTGGACCTAATTCTGCAGTGAGCTTAGAAGCCACACCAAGGACAAATGCTGGCCTTCTGTGGGTATGTTGGGCGGGCTCCAAAGGTTCCCTTACCTACGTCTTTCAAAGTCTCAGGCACGTGAGGGTGGGGTGGGGGTGGGGCAAGATGTCAGAAGCCTTTTCCAGCTCTAGAATTCTCAGAGTGCATGGGATGGGAAGGCCCTCTAAGAACTTTTGTTCTTGCTCACTGTAGAATATAACTCCAGTTGTTCCAGAGTGCAGTCCGCCCTGTTCAGGGGAAGACAAGGAGAGCAGACTCCTCCCAGGATCTTCAACCAACTGGCGAATCATGGCCATGGTGAAGGCCACTGAGGTTCATGGTGCAGGCTCTGAATCAGACAACCAGGGACAAGCTACCCGATTGCTCCAAGCCACAGGCTCCCTATTTACAAAATGGAGATGATTATGGCACCTACAGAGGAGCCTGGCATATGCTCCTCATACCAGTATTATCCTGAAAATGAAACCACCCTCGCCCAGTCCACCACTGGACCCTGGTTCTATACCCCTTTGTAGATACCAAACTAGAACTCAAAGACTCTAAAAATGAGAACCTAGGCACAGGAAAGGGATGGAGGAGGTGTGGAAACTGCTGCCTAAGTTTCCTTTCTCCTCCTCCCAGTGCCCCCGACTCACTGCCCTAGGAGGAGAGGCAGCCCCTGGGTGAGAGGAATCCAAAGCTGGCCTTCCCCGCTCCAAGCCGGCTTCCTCACCTGGATGAGGAACAGTCCTCAAGGGAACAGGGTAGGGGTGAGAGAAGGCAGTACAAGGCCCTTTGGGATGACAGAAGCAACCTCCTCATTAGCAATCGAAGGTGCAGGGTTTTCCTAAAGGGCTCAAGTCGAAAAAGGAACCACCTAGAACCAACTACCCTCAGTTCCCTGGGACTTAAGCATGGCGAGACCCACCCACAGGACTCCACGTCACCACTTGCATCGTTTGCAGGGTTGGATTGGCACAGTGGAGGGGAGGCCAAGCTCCACATCCTCCAGAGAGCCTACGGTCGGGGACACGCCAAGGAGTCCTAAAGGGCGAGCACGAGATCTCCCTTGGCCGAACTGTTTCTCTGAGTACCTAGGACAGAGCCCAGCACTCAGCCCAGCATTCAATAGCTGTTAATGATTAACTGAGTTAGATGCAGTATCTTCAGAAAGCTCTCTGTGCCTTACTGTGCTTCAAAAACTGTTGCCTAGAAAGAAGACTTTAACTATCTCTTGGACCTGGAGGTTTTGGGTAAATCCTAACCCACAATATACTAACATGCTATATCTCTGGCTCTTATTTTCCAGCACTGCCAGGTCTTATCCTTAATTCTACCCAGTAGCCTCGAAAAGAGCACTCTTTGCCCAAGGCAGGTTCACAAAGACAGGTATGTAACAAAGACGCCAGTTCTGTCCAGGCCCGGTTACATTTTGTCCCCATCTATGTCACATAATTAGCACTTCTAGGTCTTATCATGCCCCCCGCCCCCCGCTGCAATCATGCATCAGAGGGCATGTGTCCACCTCCATTCCCCAAAGGAGACTATGCCAAGGTTACAAGCAGATTAGCAACAGAAAATGCCTTTAAGAACCTTCTCTCTTAATCTGAGACCCTCTTGGCAGCCAGCCAAATTCCTGCCCAGCAGGGGGATGGAGAGGAGACTTGAAACTGAGCTTTCTACTATGGGTATCCTTGAAACCTCAAGTGAAGGAAAAAGAGGAGGCCCATCTAAGTGTCTCCTACTGGGCTGGCCTTAGCAGGAACGCCTGGAGGAATGGCAGGCAACAGCCCCACTCCATCTCTCCTCTTTCAAGCCTGAGCCCTGAAACACATTCTGCTTCTGTTAAGCAGTACTGCCCTGACCACTTCTCCAGGGCTACTGGGCCTCCTCAAGACTTCTGTAGTAAATAACCAAACTAAAAAGAAACTGAGGACATGATCCAAAGGGAAACAGTATTCTAGAAAGCAGCCACTGCTTCTGATGGAGGTGGAGAGAAAGCTCTAGGAATCAGTCTGCCAGGAGGAAAGGTGGCCCCCAGGCTCATAGTCAAAACTGTCCGACCCTGGTCCTACCTGAACGATGTCCAGCACCATGCCCGCAGCCACAGTCCCAAAGCCTGCCAGGAGGAAGGGAAACAGCACTTGCAGTCCGATGGAGAAGGAGGTCTCCTTGAGCGGGGAGGGTGGTGCGGGGCCACGGTCTGTGCTGACGTCGTCACTTTCATTGCTCTGGCTCCCGTTCTCCAGCAGGGCATCCTCCTCCCGGACCCCCTTGGCGTTGGCTCGAGACTCAATGGCCACCACCTCTACCCCAGCCCCATCAGGCCCCAGGAACTCAGAGGTTCCAGCCAAGGGCTCTCGCCCGGGGCCATCTGAAGAGCAGGGTGAAGCAGCAGGGCCAGTCCCGTTCAGCTGGTGGATGTCCTTTGGCTCCGACTTAGAGGACATGACGGGAAGGGAAGATGGAAAGGGGAAAAATTTTCTCTTTCTCTCTTTTTTCTTTCTCTCTCCCTCTCTAACTCGGGAAAGAACTTAGTCTTGGGGTGAACCCAGGCTTGGGTGCCGCGGGACCTCTTCCCACGGCTCTCCGCTCCTACCAGCCACTGCAAAAACTGATCCACCAACAGGCAGCCCCATCAAGTACTGAAGCCGCAAGCCGGAGGGAACCAGAAACTCTTCACCAGACCCAGCAGCCAGCCACTAGGGGTGCAGATGCCTGACTCCTGTCGCCCAGCACTGGGCTGAGGGATAATTAATCTGACCTCTTATCTTCTTTGGTTCTCAGCAGCAGGCTTCTCAGAGCAGGGACATCCAGAGTGGAAGAGCTCAGCCAAGTGTGGGTACCCTCTGAGGGGGCCCTTCTTTCATGAAAAGTAGCTTGAGTTCAAATCTTTCAGAAGGCAGCCTAGGCCTGGAGCTGCGGCTTCCTCCCACACCTCTGGCTGGGATCCTTAAGTTTCTCACAGCTTCTCGGGCTGTGCTGATCCCAGAGCAGCGTCTGTTGTCTTTCACCTTTCTTCCAGAGATTTCCTTCCTTCCTGGGAAGACCTTGAAGCTCCCCAAATCCCTGGTCCTTCAAGTCACGAGAACCTGTGTGGAATACCTTATGTGGGAAGAAGACAAGAAAAAGAAAAAGAGAGTGTTACTATATAGCAAAGGACAGCTCATACTGGGAGACACAAAAGTGGGCACAAGCCAGGCATTAAGACTTTGTTCTTTTCACTAAAGTCACCCGTCCCTGCACTGCAACATCTAGAGGCCCAGCAGGCATTATCCCTGCCCTCCTTAAAATCGGCAACGCACTGCCCCACAGGGATCACCACAGGGGTGAGCAGCCTGGGACGGGGAAGATGCTGTGAAGGAGACCTTGCACTTTCTTTTCAGTAACCGGGGCTGGGCAGGGATGTCCTGGGGATATCCTTTCTTAAATGTCCATTAAGAACCCAGGATAATTTAGATGTGGTCTCCCAGTGAAGTCAGTCACAAATTCAGTCACAGACTCCTTGCCACACAGCCATACCACTGTAAGACGTGATTGTTTATAGTCACAAGACAGCCACACAGGGCAATTACACAGGGAGAATTTGACCATTGAGTGAAGGTCCCCAGACCCACAAGTGCCCTAGCCCCTGAGGGGGAAAAAAAAAAAAAAAGGAGGAGTCCCAGGGTAAAAATAGGAGGACTGCCAAACCAAGGCCAAGAGCCAGAGGCCTACCCACTCCTGCCCTTGAGAGTCAACAGTGTTACAAAAAGCTCAGACGTTGACTTGGATCCAGGCCGCTGTCTCTACTTCTCTCCCCCTGCTCTGGGCCCTGTGAGCTTGTCAGATAGGAAAAGGGAGTTACCTCACTTTGAAGAGAAAGAGGTAAAACTACTGGTTATTATGCACACATTTTCAGTTCCCTAGGTTCTCCTGTTCCCCAGGTTACTGAGAGTTGGACATGGTGGCATTCTTAAAAAACAAAAGCACCAACTTAAAAAAAAAATAAAGGAAAGAAAAACAAAGCAACATAAGCCAAAATGCACTTGGGAGCAAGAGCATGTCTCTTTAGCTGTAAAAATCCCACTTTTTTTTTTTTGCCTAAAGGAATCCCAAGGCCTGATCCCATTCTATTCCATTTCACCGGAATAACTCTTACAAAATAACAAATAATAATTTTAAAGAGAACTCCCTGAGGTAAGATGAATAGGTCCTTAAGTATTCCAAACACACACCATTAGTCACCTCCAGTTTGGGAAAGGGTGGGTCCAACTCCAGTAACTGGCCCATGGACTCTAGTCACCAGGACTCCCTTTTCCAGTCTCCTTTAACCTAGTCCTGAGGTTCTTTCAAAGGCACTCACTAGAAATCCAGGAGGAAGCCTCTGAGCAGGAGGGAGTCCGCTGCTCCTGCGCCAGGAAAGTTTCTGAGTCTCTGAAAACTTGACCCTCCCTCTTCCTCCTGTCTTCCACGCAGGCCACCTAACCTGAACAGGGACTGGCAAGAAGCAAAGGCAGTCCCTTACTCCGCTTCTTCCAGTAACGAGGCTTCGGACAGGCCTAAGGCCGTGGGATGAAAGAAGCAAAACGGGACCAGGATGCCTTCAGGAGTGGACACCAGGACCCGTTTTACTATCCTCAAACCCACGGTGGGGAAGAAGTAAATGGGTGTCCTCCCTCGCCTCTCCCAGATTCAGACTCAGCAAATGCGCTGCGCGCCAGGACTCCCGCCCTCCGCCCCCCTTCCCCACCCAACCCGACTGACCTGCCCCTCACTTAGGAGGAAGGGGGGCGCCTGGCGAGTGGCAGCAGGGGCCCGTGGTCTCGGGGGGTGCAGGGTTCCCCCTCTTCTCATCACTCCTCTTCCTCCGCAGTCCTCCTCGGCCCTCGGCGTGCCCCCCGCCCCCACACCCCCAGCCAAGGCAAGCGTCCAGCCACGACCCCGGCTCGCTACATTTCGCCTCTGCGTTACAGCGAGGCCCCTGCTCGGCTCCCACAAGGAGAAGGAGGCCGGGAGGGCTGGATACACCACCTCGGCCCGGGCTGGGGCACCAGGGAGCGTGGGGCCAAGCTCACTCGCCCCCAATCGCTTTTGGCTCGCGGACTTGGGCCCGACTGGTTGGCTGCTAGTGGCAAACGAGATCTGGGGCAGAGTGGGTGGCACCCCCTCTCCATCAAAAATAGGTTCCGGATGGACAGCAGCAGCAACCAATCGGGGATGAAGGGGGCGGTCCCTGCCTCGCCCGGCCCCTTTCCTTGCTTTGTGCCGGGAGGCGGGGCGTCAGGGAAACCCGGTGCGCGGGGTGACGGGAACTGGGATCGCGTGGTCCCACAGCGCTGGGACCTCGCGGCACTCGTGCGAGTCCCGGCACCCCTCGACTGGCTGTTCAGCGGTCTTCGGGCTGTGCCATCTCCCTCAGGCCCACCCACCACACCCGGAACCTCCCTCGCCTGGTGAAGGCGTGTGAGCCCGTGCGCGACCGCTCTGGCATCTGGAGTGTTTCCTTGAGGCTTGGGCCTTCGGGAAAACAGGGATACTCTCCAGTGGCGCTCCTGGGCTCCCTCCCTGCCCTCTGTACTCGTAAAGAACCGTCCCTACCTTGTTCTTGGTCACGGCTCTTCTCTGGCTGCCTCGTCACTTTGTGCTTCCGCCACATCTCGCGTTCTAAGCAGATGGCTCAGCCCGGACGGAACCGGCCTTAAAAAGGCCGGGCCTTGAAAGGGGTGGGGATGGGCAGACGGGAGGAAAAATGTCAGATTCTCGGCTGCGATCCCACCCACACACCACCTGAGGTCCGGGCGGAGTGGAGCCTGGCTTCCTTTGACCCACTGAACCTGGTGGCAGCATAGGGAGAGATGTCTCCATCTCGGGCTAAACGAAATCCAACTTTCCCTGACGCACCTTGTGGGATCAAAGAGGGGTGTTCCCATCTAGCCTTTTGCCGCTTCCTCCCTGGGGTATCTCTACCTCTCCAACGCAAACTCAGTACCGGTTCACTTTGGGATGTTTTTGTGCAGGGGGTGTGACCTCCCTCATAAAGGAACCGCCACCCTCAGGTTTTCCCCTCTTTGTCGGTGGAACCTGTGACCAGTGGTTCCTTCCTGTCCTTTTCCTCCCGGAAAGTGGCTCAGGTGGCATTCAAGCGTGACTTCAGATCCCTGGATTGGGTGTGGAGTAGAGGTGTGCCTGGGAAGAGGAGAGCACAGTGCAGGGCATGAAGCTTTTGGCTTGCCTTTCAGAGAGGGCGGGGAGGGAGGAGAGAGAGGGAGGGAGGGAGAGAGAGAGAGGAGGGGAGCGGAGGGGAGGGGAGGAACACAGCAATCAGGTACTTACTTTGGACAAGGATAACAACACATACAACCTAGCCTCTACCTACCACTCCAGTATTTAGGATTATTCTAGTTTAGCTGCTGAGAACTTTGCATCAGCGGCCCGCAATCTCACAGCACCTAATCCTAGAACCTCAATTTAGGCTCCACACACTGGGTGTCTCAGCCTGGAAATAGAAGTAGCTGCTGTGCTAGGAAACATTGGGTTTTGCCCCAAAGGATCTATTTTTGAATAGGGGGTATAGGGTTGGGTGCGGAATTAAGGCTGATATATTTGGAGACTTTTGGTCACTCAGGGGCTGGGGACAATTCTTGCCCTGCTCCCTAACAGTCCTCATGCCCCCTCTTAATCTTGCCACAGTTCAGCCACCTCTATGTAAATAATCTCGATCTCCCTCCTATTCCTTTCCCACCTTCCTTTTTTACCACTACCCCCCTTTCTGAAAACATTTCCCCTCTCCTGTGGGTTTTTTAAAAAGATTAATTGAAGTTACACCAGACATGGGAAAGTCCACAAAGCCTTAGTGTACAGGTAAACAAGTTAGGAACATACACATATAACTGCCACTCAGATCAAGAATTCAATCATTACTGGCACCTGAGAAGCCCTCCTCATATCCCCTTCCAGGCACTACCCCACTCTCTCTAACACCACAGATTAGTTTTGCGTGCTTTTGAATTTTATATAAATTCAGTAGGTATCATTTCGTGTCTGTCTTTTCTCACACAATACTATGCTGGTGAAATTAACATAATGTTGTGGTAGCATTAGCTTATTCATTTTCATTGCTGTACATTATGTCATTAAATGAATATACCACAATTTACTCATCTGTTATTCTATTGATGGATATTTGGGTTGTTCCCAGTTTGGAGTTCATATGAATAATGCTGCTATATCAGTTTTGTTTGTGTCCTTTGGTATGTATATGCTCATATTTCTTTTTTTTTTTTACGTTTTAAAAAGATTTTATTTATTTATTTTTAGACAGAGGGGAATGGAGGGAGGAAGAGAGGGAGAGAAGCATCAGCGTGTGGTTGCCTCTTGCATGCCCTTCCTACTGGAGACCTGGCCTTCAACGTGGACATGTGCCCTGATTGGGAATCGAACCCGCGACCCTTTGGTTTACAGGCTGACACTCAGTCCACTGAGCCACACCAGCCAGGGCTTCTTTTCATATTTCTGTTATGATACATACCTAGGGACAGAATTACTGGGTCATAGAATAGGCATATATTTAAGTGTTAGTAAGTCTACCAAATAATTGTCAAAAGTGCTCATATTAATTTACACTCCTGCCAGCAGTATCTTAGAGTTCCAGTTGCTCCACATCTTCATTAACACTGTATTGTCAAACTAAAAAGATTTAAATATTTAGCCATTTGGGTTTCTATGTAGTGGTATCTCATTGTTTAAATTTATATTTCTCTGATAACCAATGAGGTTAAACACATTTTCATATATTTATTTGCCACTTGGATATCTGTTCAAGTATTTTATCAATTGGAATCAGTTTTCCCTTGGGTTTTCTGTCTTACTGCTTTGTAAGGAGTTCTTCACATATTTCAAATATGAGTCCTTTGTTGGTTATAGGTATTGCAAATATTCCTATGAGTGTAGAAATACAGAAGACCTCAGTTTTGGGGTCTTCTGAAACCTTGGGGCCACTGGTACAACACCTTATGCATTATATTCCTGGCACTTAGTAGGTGCTCAGTAAGTGCATTGAATACATGAGACAGGTGAGTGGATGAGACTCATCTAGGTAGTTTGCCATGTGTTCTGCTGATTCCTAGGGTCAAACACCCAGAGGTGCTGGAGGGAACAGCTTTCCTTCCAGCTCAGAAAACTGTGACCTTGGGAAGGGGAAGATACTCAGCTCTTTCCTACCAAAAAAAGCAGAAATAGCAGGTAGCAAGCCAGCCAAATGCTTCAGAAAGAGACTCAGTTTGGGTGGAGGGGGTTGTGGTGTCAAGGAGACAGTGAGAGTGAGCATCACAGTGGACCTTTGTGTGACCAGAATCTCAAAGCTTATGTAGGCCGTTCTCCTACCTCAAGACATGCCCTCTCTTACAAGCTCATTAGCCAAGAGCTCTTCTACCCTTATAAACACTTTTCCCTCCTTTTTCATGGCACCTCAGAGGCAGATATCAGCTTCAGGGTGAAGCTGAACATCTCTTTCCCAGCTACAGGCTGCTAGAAACTCGTTGAATGGATGATAAATGCAAATTTCGTACCTTTTATGAGAAGCGTACTGCCACAGAAGTTACAGCTGATGCTCTGGGTGAAGAATGGAAGGGTTAAATGGTTCAAATCAGTGGTGGGAACGACAAACAAGGCTTCCCCATGAAGTAAGGTATCTTGCCCTATGGACATGTCCTGAGGCATAGGCTGCCCTCTCTGAGGGCTTCTACCTCTAAGTCTGAGTCCAGTCAAAAATGAAATCTCAGAGTAACAAATAAATAAGAACAAATATCAAAACAAACAAATAAAAACAAAAAACCTTTCCCTCCAAAGGAGGTGACTTTTTTTGCAGGATTTCTCTTTCTTTTTTTAAAACCAGATCTGGCTTTCACTCCCACATGGCCTATAATGTCCATCCTGAAGACGGAGGACCATTAGGTCACTGCCAGTCCCTTCTTTTCCAAGAAGTCTTTTCTCAGAGCTGTTGCATTCCACAGCATTTTTCTGTTACTGTCTTTCCCTCCAGCACCTTCTCCTTCTCCTCCTTCAGCTATAGCTGGTCCCACATCAGGTCAAAAGTCTCTGACTGTCCTCTGTTAGAGCAGGAGAGAGATTTCCCTGTTGCAACACACTAACAAACTTACAGCCTTCCCTCCCTGGGTCCTCCAGAAGACAATGAGGCTAGTAGTAGCTCCACAATTGACTATATAGGATAAGCTCAGGGTAGCAGCCTAGATGATGTGTCATGAAAAATAAGTGATTTTACTTAGAATCTGAGATTATTGGTGGAGGTGGGAGATTTGGGGGCAGGGGGAGCTATTGATCACTGTTGGAGGCCTGTGGAGAAACCTGTCAGGGAAGTACCTCTGTGGGGTAGACTTCTTCATTCTTGGTTTGACACTTTTCCTAATATAGCCTCCATCCTGAGGTCCTTCAGGCCCCATGGCCTTCCTTCAGAGATAGCTGCTGTCTGTCAATGGCTTCTCCATGGACCAACTGGACACTCATCCTAACACAGAAATTTCTAGAGCCCTGTAAATCCTGGGTCCCCTAATTAGTGTGGTGTAGTCCTAAGACTAGTCTGGTATGGCTGGAAATGTTTCTATCTTTTGTCCTGGCTAGGGACAGGTACCCCCTCCCATTTTTCCCTGGGCTGTAACTCCCCCCCCCCACCCCCCATCTCCCTCTCAGAGGTCAACTTCTTTCCTGCTACCCAGAGCTGAGGTGATATCCCCTTCCGGCTTCATTCAGTTCTAGGAGGATGTAGCAATGGGGGTGGAATGGGGAAGTGTGGCCATCTGCACTCCGGGCTAGTTGCTGTCACCATCCCCTTTGCTTCTGCCTAATGGAGCTCCCCTTTCCCAAAGACCCTTGGATTCCCTCCCTGGGATTCCTCTCAGCAGAATGCTTCCAGGTATTTGGGGATTTCAGTTCTGAAATTACTGGGCATAGCTGGGAAGACTTAGCAGCAAGCAAAATAGTCTGGTGAACTACAGCTGGAGGTAGAGAAGTAAACTTTGAGAGGCAGAATGGAAGGTGCTGCAGTTTTGTGATCACAGGGGTTTGAACCCGTGCTCGCCCACATAAGGTGTGTAAACTCGGACAACCTCCTTTATTTCTCTGAGCTACATCTGTAAAATGGAGACACTGCTCTCTTTCTCAGAGATGCT